TGGGTATATGTTCGCTTATATGTGTAAGTGTGCGAATGTGTATATAATTTTATATATATTCATTTTTACTTTTATTTTGTCTGTTTATGTTTTTATGTATTAAACGATATCATATTTTATTTTTTGAATTCTTGTATACATTTATTCAATTTTTCTTATATACTATATATTCTTCAATAACTTTGTAAAAAATTATAAATTGTAACACGGTGCTCGGCGATAAGGCAAATTTTAGCACTTATGCAAAAAGCACTTTACCATGCTTTTTGCATAAGTCATTTATTTTGTTTTGAAATTGTTTTGACATTTTGCAAATTAACGGCATTTAAAAGTAATTTATTTTTGAGGAATTGATAATTTCTTCATTTTTTTTTTTAATATAGTCTGTTTAGGTAGGTTTTTAAATCTTTTAGTTTAGTCAGGTAAAGGTTTTTCGGAGAATATGTTTAAGTTTAACTAATTCAGAATGTAAATTAAACCAGTTGTTGTTAGTTTTATAAATCCTACCCATTAACGTCTTTATTATGTCAATTTTGTATGAAATATCTGTTAAACTTAAGTAATTTGTTAATAGACCTGTGAAATAGGGCGGATCGATTTTCATAGCAAAAAAAAAAAGTTTCAAAATCAATATTCCTGAGACACGAATCGATGTCTATTAATTATAAGATAAAAGTAAAAAAATATTTTTTGATTTTGATGAGATCTTGAGGTTCCTCTTTGGATTCTAAATCCTTGACGGATCCTAATATTTTTGAATTTTTTTTTTTCTAAAATTATATCAACCTTGGACTCAAAAGAAGCAAAAAAAATTGCTTGTTTTATCATTAATAATTTTATTAAAAAAAAAATTTTTAGTGAAAAAAATATTTGCAAAAATATACCTTATAACCCCCAGAAAACGACGTTATTTTTTTCTCTTTAGTTTCGAATTAAAACAAATACTATATTCAAAATAAACGTATTATTTTGCTTTTTTTGAATACCAGGTTAATATAGTTTAGAAGAAAAAAAATTTCAACAATATTAGGATCCGTCATAAATTTAGAATCCAAAGAGGAACCTCTAAAACTCATTTAAATTAAAAAAAAAAAAGTAAGGTTCTTTTTTCACCCAAAGACATCGGTTCGCAGCTCAGGCAAATCAAATTTCAAAAATTTTAAAAATCGATCCACCCTACTGTGAAAGTCTTTTTTCAAAATAAGCTGGTGGTTAAGTTATATTTGATGTTAATAAGAATATTTAAAAAAGCTTATTCTTTGATTTACTTCTTTTTCCATGGTAAATTTAATATTTTTGAGTTTAATTTAAAGAAAGATATTAAGCATTTAAAAAAACTAAAACTTTTTACTATATTTGTTTTTATTTTTATTTATTATCATTTTTTTATTACATTTTAAATAAGCATTTCGTTACAATACTTAAAATACAAATTTTTATTATGCTTAAAATAATATGATTTTATAACACTGCATTGTTTTCATTTGCCACTGTTTTCAAATTTAACTAAAATCATAAGCAATTAGTTGATGTTCATTTATTTACTATTGATGTTTATGTATGATCCATAGCGTTCTCTACTACAGGCCTATTCATCGCGCAACCGGATTTTTTTGTGGAGGCCTACTTTTTTACGGCAAAAAAGATAATAACTTCGTAATTTTAAAACTAAAAAGTAATTTTAATTCTCTGTATAGCCTAATAATTTTTTTTGATGAAAAAAGAAAATTAATATTAAGTAATAAACAATGTAAATAAAAGGCAAAGAAATTTTTTCTTATTTCAAATTTCACACATTTACATAATTATATTATTTCACCTTTAGTTTTGGCTTTAACTGCTAAATACAAAATTGATATTTTCTTATATTGAGTAGAAATGTTATTAAACCAAACAAAAAATATTAGATAAATTTTGATTAAAATTGTTAACAAAATCTGAAAAAAAACCAACTAATATATGAAACTTTTATAAATCTTTTATAAAAAAGTATACTGAATATATTATAAACAGTAGACAACTAAGTAGACTTTTAAGAGATTTTTAATAATTTTAGTGCAGGTTCTTTGCCAGATTTGCCAGAGTGACAGTGGTACATAAATTTAAAAAAAAAATGTTGCTCAATATTACACAATGATGTTCTTCCATATCCAATAAATAATAGTCTGATATAATCATAAAAATACTACTTAAAGATTTTCGGCATACATGATCTTTAACTATTTGAAAAACTACAAAACAAAAAAATGTCCATTGGCATGAATTATCAGTTGGAATTTTTAATCCACCACGATCCAAAAATTTAGAAAACTGACCATATTTCTGAAAATAGAACGTTGTTTGATCTAAAAGTTCATAATCAGTTCGTTCTTTATCATTTAGTGTAACATAACCAGCAATGTGAATAAGTGACATTTTAACATCATCAGCAATAGAAGATTCTAGATCTTGCAAGTTATCAAGAATTCCGCAGCAGTCTTCAGACAATTTGTAATCACATAACGCACATTGATGACCAGACTTCACATTAAAATTGTCAATATCTACATTTAACTTCAAAATTAAAGATGCATGTTTGATACGTAATTTTTCAATAACTTGTTGAACACTAAGAAAATATGTACCACCAGAACCTTGACGAAGTATACTATATTCTTTTTCCAGGTGATCTTAAGTAAATTGACCAAGAAGTACATAGTTTTGCGTAGTGTTAAGTAAATATCTACATAAATCTACTAGAAATTACAAGTTGCAGTATCTTTAGAAAGCTGTTTAATACACTTACCTTTGGGACCTGCCATTTTAAGTGCCATATCACCAAATTGTAGTATTAAATTTAAACGGTTGTCATCAGGATTGTTGATAACAGCCTGCAAAGGATCATTATGCCTTGTATCAGCACCAATGGCTTTGACATTTAAAATTTTCCACCAAATAATAACTTTATTAATAAATATAGCAGTGTCGTTAACAGCAATATGTATCATGTCAGGATGTTGCAAAAGAGCAGCATAAGTTTTTTCTGAAAATACTCTTAAAACTGTTAATACACACTGTCGTTCAACAGGTTTAGGAGAAATAGAAGTTTCATTCAGGTCAGATAACTTTAGAAAGCTTCTAATTCTGCATTGTAAAGCTGCTTTAAATGAGTCCATTTTGCAGTCCTGGTTACTCCGTTATCGTCAAATATTAATTCCTGAGTTTTTTCAGTTAACCAAAGATTACGAATATTTTTTATGAGGTGTACAAAATCATAAAGTAAATACTTTCCATCTACTGTTAACCATGGTTTTCCCGGAATGAATGTGTAAATTTTAAGAAAAGCCTGATTGACACGATTCCTATCACATATAATAGCTTTTACATTTGTACTGACTGAATCAATTATTTGACTAGTTAAATTAATCTGTTCAAACAAAAAATCAGATCATAATTTTGATATTGGTATCATTTTAATTAACACCTTTGGACCCCCATTTAAACAAACAGCCATAACCCCTAACAAGGTTTTGGACAATTCCACTGGGTCTCTCCGATCTACCAAAAATAGTTCCACCATGGTAAAGCAAACTTTTTTTAACATATATTTCATCATGTAGTATGATACATAAATTCTGCTTATCCGGAAGAGAGTTAAAAATTGAATAAATAAATTTGTTTTCATTAATATTAGAAATTTTTGAAGTAATTCGAGTCAGTGTTGAAATAGATGGAAGTTGATAATCATTTCTTAAGCGATTATATAATGCCCTTGGATGTTAAGAAATATACAAAATCTCCAACTAATTTTGGTCCCATAACTGAAACATGTTGCATAATTACTTCTTTTTTATTTTCAAAGAGCTTAAAAAACGAAGTATCTCATCAAACTTAGACCAGGAGTCAACAGTTAAGATTCGATTTACTGTTAAGCTAGAAATGTGACACTTAATCCCATAATGAAATGTTTCAAAGGTAAAATTTTCATAAATTTTAAGTACAAAAAAAGGTATTCCATTAAAAAATTGAAAAGATTGTATAACAACATAGCCATCAACCATAAACGATATAAGTGGATATTGGTGATCACTGCTATCAATAAACTTGTTTTTAATGTCACAAAAAGTAGCTTTATCCCTTTTAAGAAATGTATCTAGCTCATCATCTAATGTACTTCTAATGTCACTTAAAGATCTTTTGGTAGATCTTTCAGTTGGATAACCAGTTGGAATTTGAGATAAAGGTATTCCTAGCCAAACAGAAGGAGGATTTTTTGGTCGACGTTTTCCTCCACGCACTATAACTGTATCAAAATGTGGAGGCCAGTGTAACTCACAGATAACAGTATACTTGGTAACAACCAAATTAGAGTTTGGAATAGCTTTTATCCATTTTTCACGCTCAGCGTTATCACTTGGAAACCGATACACTGATATTTTATTAACTTCACTAGATATTTTGTTTTTTTTACTTTGATAGTTGGTGTGACAAGCATACACACAACATTTATTTGGCATGATGATTTAATCTAAACTTTATAAATATATTATTTGCTTTAAATTATATCTGCAAATCCATGTTTAAATTATATAAGTTTATTAACATTGTATTATATTCCATTATTTAAATATTTGTCATAAACGACATGACATTGTATCTGGTCTGAACGTGAAAAAATAATTATTTCGCCGTAAAAAAGTAGGCCTCCACAAAAAAATCCGGTTGCGCGATGAATAGGCCTGTAGTAGAGAACGCTATGGTATGATCCAATATTATTTTTATGAGAAATGGGTAAAAAACTTAAAAACCACATTTCAGGAATTTTTTCAGCCATCATTTCCAAAATAAAAATTTTTTATTTTAGAAAATAATGACATTGCTAAAAATGTACAGAAACCCAAAGTCAAACAAGCTAGCATTGCGGCCTTTTTTTTTACGTCGCTGTTAATTGTATGTTTTAAATGTCTTTTAAAACATACTTTTAAAACTAACTAAGGCTAGATAAGATTTAAAAATTACAATTTAGGAGGCAATCATATAATTTTTTTTGATTGATAGCAAACAACCGATTAAATATCTGTTATACAAAAAACATATACAGAAAACAATAACAATACTAGAACAAATTAAAAATAGCTAAACTTTTTTTGATCGTTAAAAAAACAGCGAAGAAAACATTGCGAATAATGATGTTGAAAGCTTTAAGAAAGCAAGCAAATCAATTTCACAACATGCAATAATTTACATATCAATTAGTTCTTATTTTCTAGAGTTATTTTTATTTACCAAATAAATTCTGTATAAATTAAGACTTTAGCGAGATTAATGTTTCTTCCTAAACGTACTTTCTCAAATATAAAACAAGCAGCCATACAAAAACGAGATGCGAAAGAATTCACATTTGTTATGATGAAGTCGTGAACCATCAATAACTAACCATTTACAATAATGACTTTTTTTAAAAACAAAAATGTCAAACATCTTTCTATCACATGTGAGGTTGTGACTACGACATTTTATAACCTCAAAATCAATCTGCATTATCGACTTTACTTTTATAACACCCAAAGAACACTACTTTATTCATTAATTAAGAATTTTAATTGGTTTTTCAGTATAAGCATACCGCGTTCGTTTTGGTGCTTTATTTACATGATCTAGACCAAGCCAATTTTGCTGGTTGGAATTATTACTTTGAAAATCCGATAGCGATATGCTTGTCGATGGATCTAAAAAATAAAATCATTTTTCTCCTAATATTAAAAAATTTTCAAAACAATTTTAAATAAAATAGTTAAAAACAGTTGTCTGCAATGTTTGAGTATTTAAGGCTAAAGGGTTTTTAATATAAATTATATTAAATCAATTAAAATTATAAATCATTTGGTACCTATAATAATATTATTTGAATATTTCATTAGGTATTGTAAAAAAAAAATTAATTAACTTAGTTATTAAAATGTTTAAGACAGACGGAAAATGATTTAAAAATCTTAGAAAAATAATAAAATCAACTTTAACTTCGAATGCAAATAAAATAAATTGTTTAAATATAAATCACAAATACTTTAAAATTTTTCATAGTTACACACTGTGATGCTGCGTAAAACACTATTGTTATGTACAATAATTACATACTTTTCCATTTTGTATTTAAAGCATATTTCGTTCATCTATTACAATTTCATTTTTATTTATATATAATAAAATTGAAACTAGTTTTTAAAGATCAACATACAAAAATTATAAACAAACCTTCAGGATAATATGTAACTTTGCCCATCTTCACAAGAGAGAATTTCATCTAAATAAAATGATTTTGTTGAATACAATAACGTAATTATTATTAAGTCATTGGAAAACACAGAAACCGAAATCATTCTATAATAACTGTTCAGAAGAGAAAAAAAAGAATAAAATTCTCATATTGCAGAAAGCAAGTTAGAAGTTAACATGCCATGTTTCACACTAAAAAAAAGGTAGAATTTTCTATCCTAGGGTAAGATATGTGATATACCCTTAGTAAAGGTATAACTTTCTACCTTTTAAGGTATAAAATTATATTAAAAACAATGATTTTTCATACAATTTTTTACCTTAAAGGTATAACTGTCTACCTTATAAGGTAAAAAATTATACTACTAAAACCTTACTAAGGGTATATCACATATGCTATCCTAAGGTAAAAGTAACTAACTTTTATTTAGTGTGTATAGTGGGTGTAGGAGAGAGGGGTGGGTGGTGTGTAGGAGTTAGATGTGTAAATTTTTATGCCATCAGTCAACAAACTATGTCCTTTTGCACCTTTAGTCGTTAAAATAGGACCTTTTTTTGGATTAAGTCTTCAAAATAGGATTGGGATATCTTTAGTCAGCAAAGTGGGAATGGAATGTTCTTTTTTTTTTTATAGTATGGCACCCCCCACCCTTAATTGAAATATACTTGTGCTGGCGCTAAATATAATACAGGAATATTTTTAAGTCAGAGGTAGATCTAGGTTTATACCACTGATATTTTTAAGTCAGAGGTAGATCTAGGTTTATACCACTGATATGTCGACATTAGATTTTTTTTTCATACTAAATTTAAGTGTGAAACTTCTTTTGAATAATTTTTCTTTAATTTCTACATTAAAATATTTTATGCAACATGTAACATAAAAACATGTAACATTAGGATTGTTAAAAATTTTTAAAAAGTCTACCACTAAGAGATTTTATCAGTGATATGATCTAAAAACATTACAAAATTACAAATTTAGGATGATACATTGCATAGGTTTTGTAGAGATACAAGACATAGGAATGTTCAGTAAAGAGTTGTGCAAGTATTACATTTTTGACCAATAATTTTTTTTCTTTCTCAGCAGAATTGACACAGTATCTTTATTAATAAAAACGAATGAATAAAAATGAATAAAATTTTTAAATAAAGTAATCAGTAAGATCAGTTAACAAAACATAAAAAAAAAAACACTTGAAAAAACACACTTGAATTTCACCTGAGGAGGGGGTGTTAAAAACAGTGAGTACATACGCGGTTTAACTATCTCTCATAAACTGGATTTTGTTATTTTAAAAACATTGAATTTCACGTGTGTAACAAAGTAGTATTGTTTTCTTTCTGACTTATTTCACTTTTTTTTTTTAATTTTTTTGTAAATAACAAGAGAAAAAAGAAATTGTGTGACAATCGTTCCAAATAATATTTTTTTTAAATGTTCAAATGGTACGCAAACTGGTTTTTATCATTTCTCTTAAAATGTTAAAATATGTTTCAACATTTTAAGATTGAAATAAGTATATTAAGTAACATTTTTAATAACTGAGAAATGTCAAATGAACTAAATCTTTTGTTTTTCTGTTTTTAATGCCTTGAGGAAGGGGGGACTTTAATTTGAAAAAAAAAATGCATGCGTATACAGAGGGAAGGAAGGGGGGGGGGGCTTTAAAAGCGTATAGGTTAATTCAAGGGGGAGGGGTCCAAAATCAGTGGTTTTATTGTGTACGTACTTTATGGATGCCCCCTTACTTGATGTACTAAAAATATCTCTAATTATTACATACACACCAATCAAGGCCACCAAGGCCCAGCATAGAATATGCATTATTTAATAAAACTTTATTATCAATAAGGTAAATTCTGCTAAAAAAAATTAAAACCTATGCCTCAACACAGCGATTAGTGAAATTTTCTAAGACTGGGGAAACTTCTCTAGGACTACTAAACAATAGATTATAACCTTAACTTTTAAAAGATTGAATGTAATCAATGGAATAGCCTAATATACCAGTCAGCTCAGTTAAGAAAAAAAATTTGGTGATGGACCCTAACACACACATAATAAATACAAAATAGGTACTGATATAAAACTCTACTTTGTCAAATTCTTTTTCAGGCATATTTATTTTCTTTCGAACACGATCTTGAAGAGAACCAAGAGTTTCTCCCTAAAATAGAAACAGATTTTTAGTTAGTTAAAGAAACATAAAGAAAAACATTTTAAATGAATGAATATCATGTCAAATTTGAAAATACATATATCATTAGGATGATGCCAAACCAGTCTTAATATATTACAATGAATTAAATGAGATGATTAAACGCAAAGTTTTAAAGTATTTACCAAAATCTTTATCAAACAAAAACTTGTTACTGTCCAGTGCAATTTGAAATTTTAATTAGTTACAAAATTGTTGTTTGCAAAGAAACATGAATCATTTTTTAATGTTAACTTATTTTTTTAATTTGGCGCTAACCATCCATATTTAATTTGGCGCTAACCATTTGTATTTGTAACCATCCATACTTAATTACTATTGATTTTTTTACTTTTCATAAAAAAAAAAAAAATCTTGATTTAAATTTCAAACCTCAGATATTTTTATGTAAAATGGTGTGCCAAATGATGTGTATGCCTCCTAAAAAGTTAATAATAAATTTAACACACAAAAAAATGTTTGTTATTTTAACTAAATCAGAAATTATTACATGTTACGATTAAAAAAGTGTTACTGAAATTTTATTTAAAGTATATAAAACTAATAAGCAACATAAAGTTATACTAAGTAAATATGAAAGTATAAATAAATTGAACTAATTAACAATAATTACATGAAAAAATCATTTAAAAAATGTCACAAAATAATTTCAGGAAGTGACTTAAGAATGAAACAGTCAAAAAAATGTACTTTCAAGTAAAATAAATGGGTGTGTCAGGTAGGAGACAGTGAAGAAGAGATTCAAACTTTCAATACCTAACAAATATGTAATAATAAAAAAATATTTAATCAAATTTATTAATTTCACTTATATCATTAGCAACTTATTTGAAGCATACACTGCGAATCCTTAATAATAATAAAAAAGAGATGAGTTTTATTTTAAATAAATTTATTCAATTGATTGAAGATTCAAATGATTTAAGAAAAAGAATTTAAAATTAATAGTGCTATGTCTGTAGAAAAAACATTTAAAACAATAATAAAAAAAGCTTTCCATCTAAATTTTAATCAATATATTTCTGGCTTGGTGACTAATGATGTAAGTGGCTTGGTGACTAATGATGTAAGTGACTTGATGACTAATAATGCCAGTTCAATAGATTCAAGAGATTAGTAAAACTTTGAATACTGTTCATCAACTATGTCACTTCCACTGTATTTATCTTGTTGTTGATGATGTCCTTTACAAAGAGATTTTTTTCTCAAATCAATTCATTTTTTAAAATGTTTTTCTAACCATTTTTTAGGGTGCTTATAACAAATCAAAAAAACATTCAAACAGGAAGTTCAAGTCTCCTTCTTTACCAAAGTTACTTATTAAGTCAGAGCTGGAATCAAATAATTCAACCTCCAGGTTTTGTGCCAGAACTAAAGCCATCAAAAAGCTAATTAAGTTGAGATCTACACAGCTAATTAAATTGAGAGTTACACAACTAGTTAAGTTGAGAGTTACACAGCTAATTAAATTGAGAGTTACACAACTAGTTAAGTTGAGAGTTACACAGCTAATTAAATTGAGAGTTACACAACTAGTTAAGTTGAGAGTTACACAGCTAATTAAATTGAGAGTTACACAACTAGTTAAGTTGAGAGTTACACAGCTAATTAAATTGAGAGTTACACAACTAGTTAAGTTGAGAGTTACACAGCTAATTAAATTGAGAGTTACACAACTAGTTAAGTTGAGAGTTACACAGCTAATTAAATTGAGAGTTACACAACTAGTTAAGTTGAGAGTTACACAGCTAATTAAATTGAGAGTTACACAACTAGTTAAATTGAGAGTTACACAGCTAATTAAATTGAGAGTTACACAACTAGTTAAATTGAGAGTTACACAGCTAATTAAATTGAGAGTTACACAACTAGTTAAGTTGAGAGTTACACAGCTAATTAAATTGAGAGTTACACAACTAGTTAAATTGAGAGTTACACAGCTAATTAAATTGAGAGTTACACAACTAGTTAAGTTGAGAGTTACACAGCTAATTAAATTGAGAGTTACACAACTAGTTAAGTTGAGAGTTACACAGCTAATTAAATTGAGAGTTACACAACTAGTTAAATTGAGAGTTACACAGCTAATTAAATTGAGAGTTACACAACTAGTTAAGTTGAGAGTTACACAGCTAATTAAATTGAGAGTTACACAACTAGTTAATATGAGAGTTACACAACTAGTTAAATTGAGAGTTACACAGCTAATTAAATTGAGAGTTACACAACTAGTTAAGTTGAGAGTTACACAGCTAATTAAATTGAGAGTTACACAACTAGTTAAATTGAGAGTTACACAGCTAATTAAATTGAGAGTTACACAACTAGTTAAATTGAGAGTTACACAGCTAATTAAATTGAGAGTTACACAACTAGTTAAATTGAGAGTTACACAGCTAATTAAATTGAGAGTTACACAACTAGTTAAGTTGAGAGTTACACAGCTAATTAAATTGAGAGTTACACAACTAGTTAAGTTGAGAGTTACACAGCTAATTAAATTGAGAGTTACACAACTAGTTAAATTGAGAGTTACACAGCTAATTAAATTGAGAGTTACACAACTAGTTAAGTTGAGAGTTACACAGCTAATTAAATTGAGAGTTACACAACTAGTTAATATGAGAGTTACACAACTAGTTAAATTGAGAGTTACACAGCTAATTAAATTGAGAGTTACACAACTAGTTAAATTGAGAGTTACACAGCTAATTAAATTGAGAGTTACACAACTAGTTAAGTTGAGAGTTACACAGCTAATTAAATTGAGAGTTACACAACTAGTTAAATTGAGAGTTACACAGCTAATTAAATTGAGAGTTACACAACTAGTTAAATTGAGAGTTACACAGCTAATTAAATTGAGAGTTACACAACTAGTTAAGTTGAGAGTTACACAGCTAATTAAATTGAGAGTTACACAACTAGTTAAATTGAGAGTTACACAGCTAATTAAATTGAGAGTTACACAACTAGTTAAGTTGAGAGTTACACAGCTAATTAAATTGAGAGTTACACAACTAGTTAAGTTGAGAGTTACACAGCTAATTAAATTGAGAGTTACACAACTAGTTAAGCTGTGAGTAAGGAGAAAACAAAGAGGAGAAAATGGGAGAATTCCAAACCATCATTGTTTGAGAAAGAAAAATCAAGATAAATTAAAATCCTTTGAGCATGAAAGAAATGTTATATGCTGAATAACAAGATACGCACTCAGTTTTAGTTGATGGAGTAATGAAAGCTTTAGCATTAACCATAGTAGTTTTTGAATAATAGAGATTGAGATGCAACTTTGCAACAATGAGTCAGATTCAAGCATGGCAGCTAGAACAGGTCTGACATTATTTACAATGAGTTTTCGTACATTATCTTAAATAAGCCAATTTTGAAGAACCAGCGCAAATATGACAATATAAACAAGGAGGAATAAGAAATTTATAGAATAAGAGATTTATAAAGGTAAAGAAAATCTGGCGTAAGAAGATAGGCACAGTAAAAAGAGGCATCTAACCAGATGCTAACTTTTCAATGGTTTTTTTTTCATGGTTTCCATGAAAGGACAGAAATGAATGATAATCCAAAAACATTGTCTGGAGTAGTAGATGATGCAGAAATAGTTAATATCGGACTAATACTTGCTAATCACCAATAAAAAATATCAACAAGACTATTAATTATTAGACTATTGTTAACTATTAACAATAATAATATTAACTAATAGACTTGTTGATATTAGCAATATTAAATTGAATTGTATTGAACTTTGAAAACCACTGCAAGTTATCATAAAAATTTTAAAGAGAAGATATTTTTATTTGTTTAATATTTTTAGATATTTATGTTTTTAAAAAACTTAATCATAGTATATTACAAAATAAGTTATGCAATTGCATCATTCCTGATAGTCAATCTAAAATAATAACAAAAGGCTCTTTATATGAACTCAGCAATGCATTCCAAAAGCACTAACAGGGATTCCTTCTATGTGCAACATGAAAGAATCTCTGTTAGTTATTCTACAGTCATTGATGGAATTAGCTTCTCTGAGATGGAATACAAAGTTTGAGAAACCAACCGGCCTCAACCTCAAGTCAGGTGGTATTTAAAGTCAGAGTTCACTTCTCATAGCTTTTTCCTAGGAAAATGAATCCAACAAGACATCAGGACACGAGGCAGGTTGTAATAGATGTTAAGAGTAGTAGAATGATCATGATGATTTTAATTTTGAGCTGAATTTGAAGAAATCACACAAAAACAATGAATGTGTTTAAACATTTGAAATTTGTACATTATTCATTAAGTTAAAAATTCATATTTATTTTTATTTATTACTTGATTTTATATATAAATTTGCATTAATTCATAAAAATTGTTCATTAATTATAACACCAGATAGAACTTTATAATTTCAATTATGAAATAAAATTGCAGTAGCTAAGCAATAACTTGTAACTTTTGTAGCACTACCTTGATTTTTATCTTGTTTTAAATTTTGTTCAAACATTTTTTTTTATTCAAACTCAATTTTATTCAACATATATTTCATTCATTAAAATAATTATAAAAGGTAAATAAACCATCTGGTCTTATAATTCTGTCTTATAAATTGGTCTTATAATTATGAAATCTGGTCTAAATATTTTTTTTACTTTTCAAATTTTTAATCAAACATTTTGTTTTTGACCTTTATAAATACAGGGTGGCCCATAAGTCACTTTACATTTTAAAAATTAAATAACTTTTTATTAAACGACTGTATTTAATTAATTCTTTTTTTATTACAAAGTTTAGAATCTGTAAGTTAGTTCTGACTTAGTTACGAAAGATAATGTCTCTTAAATAGCCTCCATTCTCGTCTTCACAATGTCGAGCTCTTTTTAAGCTATTCTCCACAACACTTCTTAACATCTGAGGTTGTAGGAAAAGAAATTCCTGTCGTATGTTTGCCTTAAGATCTTGAATAGTTTGGGGCTTATTATTATTACACTTTGTCTTTAAGATATCCCCAAAGCCAAAAGTCTGGTGCTGTCAAATCAGGAGAACGTGGAGGCCATTCAAAATCGAATTTAAGAGAGATTATCTGATCCTGAAACATTGCAGTTAACAACTGCATTGTGGCTCTAGCAGTATGTGCAGTTGCTCCATCTTGTTGCCACTAATACCCTGCCATGTTTGCTAACTGAGGTTGAACAAAATTCGCTAGCATGTCTTGATATTTCTCAGCAGTTACAGTCACAGCATTTTCATTTACATCTTCAAAGAAGAAGGGCACAATAACCTTTTCTGATGTTACTCCACACCATGTTGTGACTTTAACTGAGTGTAATGGACTCGCATGACCTTGGTGTGGATTTTCGGTGCCCCAAAATCTCATATTCTGCTTATTCACATGTCCATTCAAATGGAAATGAGCTTCATCTCCCATGATCAACTTGTGAATAAACTCATTGTCATTTCTTGCAGTTCTCTGAAACCTGACAGCATAATTTAGTCGTTTCTGAAAATCTGGTGGTTGTAAAGATTGCACTAATTGAATCTTGTAAGGGTACATGTGCAAGTCTCTTTGAATGCGCTGCAGAGAACTCCGTGAAATGCCAAGTTCTTGAGAACGCCTTTGAGTGGATGTGGTTGGGTTCTCTTCAATGCTACGGCTCACAGCTTCAGTATTTTCACATGTACGTACTGAACAACCTCGTCCACTTTAAGTCCTAGCACTTACAGAGCCATGCTCTTAAAAACGCGTCACTAAGTTCATTATTGCAGGCCTACTAGAGAGATGTCGAACATTAAAATGGCGCATATACGATCTTTGCGTTGCAACAATTGACCGTTCATTTTCAAAGTAAAATTCACTTATCTTCACTCGTTGTTCTATTGTAAACGTATCCATACTAAAAATTTCCAAAAATTATATTTTTTAATTCTAAAAAGAGAAATAAAAATAAATTAATAGAAAAAAAGTTATTTAATTTTTAAAATGTAAAGTGACTTATGGGCCACCCTGTATTTATAGAAAACAATAAAAAAAAAAGTAATTAGGAATTAAACAGTGAAACGATTTGCTATATATCACTTATTACTTTTGTAAAAGTTTTTACATCATGCAAAAATTTATTGATTTTAAAGTACTTACCTTTTGAAAATGCATAACCGGCACTAAAAGTGAATGATTGTCATCTGACAATTCTTCTCTAGGAATTTCCTGTTAAATATTAATCATAAAAGTAAGTGTAATAATACAAAAATATAAAAAAATAATGTTTAAAAAAAAAAAAGATTTTTTTTTTTTCTTTAGGTGTAGCATGTCATGTATTTTCAAAGTGTCATAAGAGTTGTAAAATAAATTAGCTTTAATATAAAATAATTGGTTGAAATAAATGATTTATAAAAAATTTATTATAATAACATAAAAAGTTTAAATGTAAAAGCCAGATTTCGCTTGCATTTTTGATATAACTATTTTAAATGTAGTATTAAAAAAAAATTTAAGAAAAGAAATCTGAAAAGAAAGAAAAAAATTTAAGAAAAGAAATCAGTAAAAGAATAATATTTTTTGCATATAAAAACTTTTGACATTATTACCTCAATACGATAATTCTTTTGACTTTGTTGAACTAAAGAATCTAGTAAGGTAGTAGATGGCACTATCCTTTGAATCTTACTAGCAGATATCTCAACTAAACGCAGAGCAGTAGTGTCAATAGTTTCAACAACTTTAGCTGCCTCAGTTAATAGATTATGAACATATCCATTTTTGTCTACTAGTATCACAAGCTCTTTCTATAACATTAAAAAGAAAAACAATTACACTACAGTATATATTTTTAATTTCTTCTAAACATATTAAATAAAAATTTTATTCTGTACTAAACATCATATCAAATAAAAAACAATTCTTTCTATCATTATTGTTGCATTACATTTTTTTCTATAAAAAATAAATTCATCTTCAAATAACTGATGTTTTTATATAAAAAAAACAGTTAAAAACATTTAGAATTATTTAAGCAATTATGAACTTAATGAGACTAAATCAAAATTAACTTAAACAACCCTCAGAATTTGGGATAATAAGTTTGGTAAGATTTTAGGAAAATAAGTTGCCGACCTCAAACTATTAGAGGTCAGCATCAGGTCTACAAAAAAAAAATTGACACAAAGGGGATACCAAATAAAAATAGATAAAACATAGAAACAAGATCAGCAATTTTTTGCCAACCTCAAACACTTCTAGGTCGGCATTGCTGAATGCTAACCCTAATTCCGAGGGTTGCTTATACAACACAAACTATTACCAATTGCATACAGCACAACAAGTAAACCATGGTACAATGATATGAGATGCAAGTTTAATCATCTTAGACTACAATTTTATTAAAAGTTTACGCTAGTTCTGTTTTTTATTATCATTTTGTGGTTACTTATACTTAAACTTATTTTATGCTTTAGTTTTATTTTATGATACAAACTTAAATAACTGAATTTTTAATATCAACAGAGTTATTAATGGCCAAATCAAATATTGTAACATTTAAAATTTTTGAAAATCTTATTGGCTTAATAAACAATATTTTATTGGCTTAATAAACAATGAAAATCTTATTGGCTTAATAAACAATATTTTATCATCAACAAAGTTAGGAAAATCACTTACTAAAATAGTAAAATATTTAAACCGTAATGAAACCTTTGGGTTTTTAGGTAAGGATAATCTCAATCATTTTGCTACTGGTAACATAATCCAATAAAGCCTGCCAGTTACCAAGCTACCTTGTAGGATTTGCTTATTTAAGCAATAGCTAAAAGACAATAAGCTAGAGGTGTTTCAATAAAAATACTGATATTGGGCAGATTATAACTGAATCATGCTACTGCCTTGTAAAGAACATCTTAAGCAAAGACTTAATGAAAAAACTAAAGTGGCTATGTATATTTTTCTTTTACAACCAACTCAATAAAAAAATAAACAACTTGTATCTAAGATAAGTAAAACAGAATTTCAAAATCTTTTATTTAAATTACAGTTTTAAAATTTTTTTAATAAAGCATCTCCAGCAAAACAAATACAAATCAAATTTAAAACAAAATAAATAAATTATAAATAAAGAGACTATTAGCTTAATATACTTTAACCATATATAACTTTTAAAGCTTTTTTTGTTTGTGTTTTTTGCTTGCAGTAAATTTGTGGCCTTGTTTATTAAAGTTCATGTTTTAGAACTAAAAGAGGTGAATAAAAAAAAAAAGAAAACATAAAAGAAAGAGTAGCACTCCCACTAGTACAGAAGCCCTCTGGGCCATTGAGAAGTAATGTAAATAAAAGTTCTGCAAATAATAATAAGTACAATAATTAAGATTGAATAAAAACCAGTTTTACTATTTTAAAATTAAATAAAAAGCAGAATTTTTATGTTTTAATTTTAAATAAACAACACAAGAGGTTTAAATGTTTTAGATAAAAAAAAAGAAAAAACTAATAGTAAAAATATCTACAAAAATAAAAATTTAATTCAATAGTAATTCAATAAAAAAAAAAAGAAAAAAAGAATACCTCGCCTTTTAAATCAGCATTTATAAATGTACATTTAAACTGCACTTTGTTTTCAAGTTCATTGATTGGCATAGTTAACTAAAAGTAGACAAGTTATTAATGTTGTTTCAGTCACAGCAAACATAGTAAGCATAGTACTAGAGAGCTAGAACTACATGTAATTCTTTATTTATTTTGAAAAGTTTAATAATAAAGAATTTAACAATTTTTTATTATTTAAAAAAAAAAAAAAATTGAGAATTATAAAGCTATAAATACTTTATTCTAAAGTTTTGTGTTCTAAAAAAAGGAACATGACTTACTATGCAATATTACATAGACATATTAAATGCAATTAATGAATTAAACAAAACTCTAAATTTTAAAAATAAAATAATAAAAAAAAAGGATTGGTTCTTATCAAGCAAAACTTCAGGTCTAAAAGTTTATTTTTAATGATACAAATAAGTTTGTAGAAAATATTTTATCTTTTTTTAATACAAATTTGAGTTGTTTTAATGTTTTTATTTCAAAAATAATGAATTTATTTCTAGTATTCAGCTCAGTATTGTTCCACAAGGGTCAAATAAAAGTAAATAAGACATGTTTAAGAAATTAAAAACTTTTTAGGTGTTGTCCATAAATTATGTCATGCTACGATAAGGAGGAGGAGAAGGAGGAGGAGGTTGTGGTTTTGTGACAACTTGCACAAAACTTATTTCTTAAGTGTTACAATTTTGTGATGAAGGAGGGGATTGGTTCAAAAACATTTAAAAATTGTGACATAATTTATGAACAACCTCTTAGACGTCTAAAACACGTCTTGTGCCCACTGGGAGAGTTGCTGAGACTAGGGAAGAGACATTGGGAGGGTTACTAAGACTAGAGGCACCAATAAAAATGCAGTAGAACTCCTTTAAAAATGATATAACTTCTAAAGTGCTTACAACAACTTTTTTCCAATTCTAAATAGGGGTGGCTATTTATGTCGACACTTCATTAAAACCTAATGAAGTAAGCGAAATTGTTTTATTAGATTCCCCTGAACAAATTTGGTGCGAAATATCGTACGGTTCCGAACACATCCTTCTGGGTTGCATATACAGGCCACACATGCTAGATCCACTCGAGAATATCGAAGCGTCCATTATTAAAGCAAATGAACTTCTGTCTAATATATATAGCGGCTTTTTGATTTGTGGAGACTTTAATTTGCTAGGGATTAACTGGGATTCGAGCAGTATCCCAACTATCAGCAACACAGATACCCTTTCAAGTAATTTTATTGACATCCTTGCCGAATCGTTTTTGATACAATTTGTTACTAAGCCCACTTTTTAACTTGATGAAATTACATCGAACAACACTCTTGATCTAATTATAGCCAAAAATGAAAATCAGGTCCTCAATATTATTCACCATGCACCTTTAACGTCTCTGAAGAAATCTCACCACGTCCTTCAATGGGATTACGTTGTTAAAAGCGCTGCAGTTGTAGGAAAACACATCGAAAAACACATTTATTATAAAAGTAACTTTGTAAAGATATCCGAATATTTTAACAATATCAACTGGCAGATGGAATTCAATGGACGCAATACTGATGACTGTTATAACATTTTCCTGAACCACTACGAGACTGCAAGCAAAACTTATGTCCCAGTGACTAAATCAAAATGGATTCATCGACAAAGCAAATGGATGAATGATGACATCAAGAATAAAATAAAAACTAAAAATAAACTATGGTTTCGATGTAGAGTGAATGGATATAAAAGTCTTAAACTAGTTAACAAATACAAAGCGTGTAATATTCAACTCATATATAAAGCTCGTTGTGAGTTTGGACTTGATTTTGCGATAAAATCGAAGCACAACCCAAAGATCCTGTTCAAGTATGTTAACAGCAAACAAAATGTTAGAACTACAATAACAGCCTTAAAAGGAATCAATAGCGACACTATCACAAATCCAATAGAAATTGCAAATCGGCTAAACAACTACTTTCAAAGTGTTTTCAACAAAAATGAAGACGATGAACTTCCATATTTTATAAAACGAACTGAAGCCATTGCAAATACTTGCAAATAACGCAAGATCTGGTTAAAAACAAGCTGAGCGATTTATCAGTTGATAAAACTGTTGGTTTGGATGGTGTAAGCGCATATGTACTGAAGAACTGTTCTGACAGCTTCTCAATACCTTTATGCGCAATTTTTCAGAAGTCGCTAGATAGTGGGTATTTTCCTGAAGTATGGAAAAAAGCTAATGTAACACCACTGTTTAAAAATGGAAGTAGACTCGACCCAGGCAATTACCGGCCTATATCCTTAACATCAGTTGTATGTAAAGTGATGGAGAAAATATTACGTAACACTATGGTCAATCATTTAGCCGAACATAGCCTTATTTCAAAAAATCAACATGGTTTTGTCAATAAAAAAGCTTGTGTGACTAATTTGTTGGAGTCGATTGACATGATGTCAAAAGCATTATCTGACAAAATATCTATGGACGTAGCTTTTATAGATTTCAGTAAAGCATTTGATATGGTTCCCCACAAGAGACTAATTTACAAACTTCAGGCATATGGTTTTACTGGAAATCTCCTAAATTGGATAAAATTGTTTTTACACCAGCATTTTCAACGAATCATGATGGGCGATTATGTTTCCTTGTGGCTTGAGGTATTTAGTGGCGTCCCTCAAGGATCCATATTAGGTCCAATACTTTTTATCATTTTTGTGAACGATATATCCGATATTGTTAACCATCCATATAAAATGTATTCGGATGACACTAAACTGCTGACCCGTTTAGATCACCCATTAGCTTCACAAATGCTTCAAACTGATATCTACAACATAGCCGATTGGTGTAAAACCTGGAAAATGAAAATTTTATGTCTACTTAATGCCAGCTAATGACAATAACAGTGTCGAACTAGCATCGACTTTAGTTGAACGTGATTTAGGCATCATGATTACGCCAGACTTGGCATAATCATGATGCCTAAATGGCACAACAATTCAACTTTTGCAACCAATAAAGCTAACTGTGTATTAGGCATATTGTATCGTATTTTCAGTCACATGACTCCGCAACAACATAAAATTCTATATACAACCTTTGCATCTGGTATTTGCGGTAACAGCCAGTAATCCATCATCCAGAATAGAAAGTACAAAGAAGAGCAAAAATCGAGAAAGTACAAAGAAGAGCTACCTGTTTAATACCTTTGTACCGTCATATGTCATACAAAGATCGTCTGAATATACTAAACTTAACATCTTTAGAAACCCATCGCATTAGGGGAGATCTGATACAGGCCTATAAAACTATTAACAATATAGACATTGTCTCACGGAGTGAACCCCATGTCCTTCGTGTTGGGGAGTCAAATAAAATAAAAACTAGAGGACATCATCTAAAAATGACTAGAGAATATTTTCAAAATTGCGAGCAAAGGCACCAGTTTTTTACTAATCGAATAGTGAATCATTGGAATGCATTGCTGTCAGAAGTTGTATGCGCTTCATCAGTTAACAGTTTCAAGGCTAAGCTTGATGCAGAAATTTCAAATAATCCGCATAAGTATCAAGATTATAACTAAAATAAAAAATAAAAAAAAATAAAAAAATAAAAAATAAAAAGAAAAACAATAAAGTACAAACTTATACTTCATACTATATATCCTATTGTAAAATTTATATATTTTAATATATTTTATAATTTTTATAAAATTAGTGTATAAAGTAGATAAGGCTGCCAAAACCTATAGGTTATATTGCTAAAAGGTTAAAAATTGCTGCAACAGGAAAACCTGTTGCAGCAATTTTTCTACTACTACTACTACTTCTAAATATCAACTTAAGTAAGTGCAATATATTATTTTCTAAATCCAGAAGCTTTGAAAATATGTTGATAATTATAAAATGTTTATTTTTAATAAAACGTTTTAACAAGTTAAAAATCATAAAACAAAATATAAAATTTTTAAAACAAAATATTATAATAAACTTAAAACAATAAAAAAGATAAAACTTTAAGTTTCACTTACTACTTGATAATAAATCTTTTTTGGTCCCTTTCTACCACCACTGCACACAAGATCTTTTAAATGTCCGTCAAAGGAGCATTTTACAGGGTTACCAGGTTGGTCTCTATAACTATAGTAAATGAAATGAATTAGAATACAATATTTTAATTCAGACATTTAAAATACAATAGTTAATATAAATTTGATATCTGATATTAAATATGATGCTTTATGCGGTGAGCAGTAAACATGGTTCTTATCATTTAAAATTATAAAATGATTTTTTAAATAAAGTTGGTGAAGGTGAATAAATATTTAAATTTTTACGAAATAAAAGGAAAACAATATGCTATCAAACCAAATTCTGACAGTTTAGCACTTTATAAATATATATAATTTAACTTTATATAACAAAATATATATATATATATATACATTAGGTTGGGGTGAAAATAAAAGTTTGGTCTATTAAAAAATAATAAAAATGTTAATGACACATAAGTAACAGCCCCATTTTTACCCTTAAACATCAGACAGGTCCCTAAAAATATAGAAAAATTTTGTCAAAATTCTAAAAATAATAACCAAATTTCATAAAAATGTCTCTAAAAAAATTAAATTACAAAAACTGTAAAAAAATTTGCTTTTTTTAATAATTTAAAAAAACCGCAGTTTTTATGCATTAAAATGTAAATTTTTATAAAATTTCGCTTTATTTGAGAACTAACAGGACATACTTTTGAAGAATTTTTTTTTCAATAATATTAGGGACTGTCTGTCTTTCGGGTCAAAATGGGGCACTTCCTGTTAAGCATTTTTATTTTTTACAACTGCTTCTGGTTTCATACATGGATTGGCAAATAAGTACAGTTTATTATGATGAAATTCACACTTTTGTTTATTTTCACCCCAGCCATGATACATGAAAGTTTCACCCCAGCCATGATACAAGTTTAGTTTAAACTATTGTAATATAAAAATTATTATTTTTTAATATAAAAAGTAATTATGGACAATATTTTGCCTAATAACCTAACCAATCGAAAGCTAAGCTAAAAACTGATAATAATCTTAACAGTCAAAAACATACTATTGTTATTTTAATTTTATTTATTTAACCAAAAACATAGTGAAACAAAGGAAGCTAAAAAACTGATAAAAAAAACTAATCAACTATGAAAAAAAAAATCTGTATAAACAGACCAAAAATAAGATTGAATAAAAATTGAAAAAAAAAAAAAAAAAAAATTAGAGATAAATATATAAGGGATCGTCCATAAATTACATCACACATTATTTGACAGTTTTTGACCTCCCCTCCTCCTCTTCACAGAATTGTAACACTTAAGAAATAAGTTTTGTATGAGTTATCACAAATCCCACACCCCCTCCCCACTTATAGAGTGACGTAATTTATAAATGACCCCTAAGATCGAATTTCCTAACATAAAATGACCTTATGTTAGAATATTTAATTTTAACAAAACCATATTGTGCTCCAGCAACTGGCATCTACCCCATACACTATGCAATACATCTGTATAGATATTTCATTACTAAAATTTTTGTTATATTTCATTAATAAAATGAGTGCCTTTTTGAAAACAAAAATTAAAAATAGTATTAAGAGTGCAGGAAAATAAACCACATATACACATTAGTGCTACTACAAAATACACACACACAGACATATATATATATACATATAAACATATAAACATAAATACTAAAAAACATACATATATTCATGCTATTTCCTTGATTTACTATTTTTAACCAAGTTTCATTATAAATTTATAAAAAAATATATTAGATTAGTTTTCTTACATTTGAGGTTTAAAAAACTGTATTTTTAGTGGATCAACTCCAAGTGTTGAAGCAGCAGCATTGGCTATCTAAAAAAATTTTTATATTTTAGAGTCCAAAAGGTTTCTTGAAATTTTGTAGACAATATTTAATACAAGTTTCAGTTTTATTTGATTACATTTTTTCAACATCTTCACTTTTAACAAGGCTACAAGCAACCACTATTAGAATTGAAAGTTACTGGAAGAGAAAAGATTTGACAGACAACTTAAAAGATTGCAAATAATATAAATCAGGAAGCAAGATGAAGGAAGAAAATTCCTAAGTACTAATTTTCGAGGGAAAAAACAAGACAAATAAGAATTTTCGGAGCACTTAGGAACAGTCACAGTAAAAGGATGAGACTTAACTAAATGATGAGCAATACGAGAAAGATTTTTAGTAGGCACTAGCTCTTTAGAGCAGTGTCTATTATAAATTTTAAAGAAAAAAATAAATGGCTGGAGGTTGACTGCAAGAGCAGGTCCAACAAGGTTTACAATGCATTTTTGCGCGTTGTCTAAAAGAGAAAGGGCATCATTGGAAAATCCGCCCCAGATATGGCAACAGTATTCCTACAAGGACGGATTTGAGTCTTAAAGAGATAAAAAATAGAATCCAGAGTAAAAAGGTAGCGAGCACAATAAAGAGATGCAACCTAACCAGATGCTAATTTTGAAATCCATTTAATATATGATTACCCAGAAAGATCAGAGGTAAATGTTAATACTAGAAGATCAAGGGTAGATAACACATCGAGTGATTTACCATTCATAACTATAGAAAGATGTAGATTGTTACGATAATGATTAGCTGAAAAAAAAAGTTGAGTTTTATCTGAGTTAAAGTCTGCCAGCCACTGAGAGCCCCATGCTGTAGCAGAAGTGAGATCCTTTTCAAACTCAAATACCTCCTTCAAGCAATTAGAGAGTGTTGGTTTCTTATCAAGACAAGAATAAATGGTAGTATCATCAGCGAACAATGCCACCTTTAATGTGACAATATCCAGAAGATCATTAATGAAAATAAATAAGACTATAGGGCCAAGGATAGAACCTTGTGCATTATTATTATTATTGTGCATTACATAGATGTGGAGAGGTTGAACAATAGTTTCAATCTCTCCACATCTATGTAATGCACAATAAATTTGCTAACAGTAATAATCAATAGGTTATTACTGTTAGCGAACCAGCTGTAGAACGAGAAGATCAAAATCCACATTGATGATCAAAAAGTAAATTATTAGATTCAAGATGAGAGATTAGATATTTGTTAAAGGGATCCCTAAGTGCTATAGAGATATGATCTCATATGAAAGAGCATTAAAAAAAAAAATGTTTGATGTATATTATTTTTTCTAAAACGTAATAATGAACACACACTAACAAATTTAATTTTCAAAACAACACTTTTCTTCGATTAAAAAAAAGTGCGTCTTGTCCAAAGTTTATTGACTCTACTGCCTCAAAAAACTAACGTTTGTACGTCAATATAAACAAAGTAGACAAAATGTCATTATTGCAAACTTATTAGTTGGTAATTAAATTTAAAAGTAAAGTCGTTTTTTTTTCAACTAACACAATTACTTACAAGAATAAGTTTTGTAGCATTTTGTGAAAATATATTTGTATATTAAAATTTTTTTTATAATTTTAATTTATATATTTGTGTTATAAGGGCAATTCCACGGCCAAAAATGAATAGAAGTCAAATTTTAAACTCTTTTTAGTCAGTTTTAACAAATGAATATTGATTTAGACACATGAAAGTTTATTTAAAATATTTCCTTAGTACAAAAATAAATTTATTTCAGTCATTTTTATGGTTTCAAAAGTGACGGTTACTCTCATTTTTGCTTGATAAAAAAAATAATTATTGTAAAATATTTTACTTAAATTAACATTTATGTTAATTTTGCTATATTTTTTTTGGTTCAAATTAATAAGGTTGAATAGACATTTTATTAGAAATTAAACTAAGACAGGGCTCGAATTAACGCAAAAAAAAATCTAATCGCGATAAAAAATTTTTTTTTGCTCTCTCCCCCCCCCCCCCCTCTCTCTCTTATAGGTCGCGCCGATGTGCGTGAATGGGGGGGGGGGGGGGAGAATTATCGTCAATAAATCAAAAAACATCGTCAAAAACTTAATAAAAAATTATATACCACGTTTTTTATAATTTATTGTTTCTTGAATAAAGGACTAATAAAAGTTTAAATATAATTAAGTTTTTCATTTAAATGGTTGATGTTTTTTTCAATTTTTCTATTTCAAGTTTTCCAATAAAAGATGAAACAAAAAAATTTGGTTAAATAAATCGAAATATACTTCACCTTTAAAATAAGGCTAAAGTAAAAAAAATTGCTGGTTTTTATTAGCATTTTTATACTGTTTGAAAAAAATAATAATAAAAAAGAATTAACTAATAATATATTAATTAATAATTATTAGAATTAATAATAATAACAATTAATTCTTTTTTATTAGTTTTTTTTTTCAAACAGTATAAAAATGCAAATAAAAGTCAGTATTTTTTTTGCTCTAACGTTTTTAAGCCTAATTTTAAACATGAAGTTTTGATAAACAAAGATAAAAACCAACTTTTCGCTTTAACGACCTTGTAAAAATTTTCCACGCAGAGATTTAAAGTAATTTAAATTCAAAAATGTTTAACGTTGAAAGAAAATCTCCGCGCGAAAGAGCAAATCTATCTATTCAGAATAATAAATTTTGTGTGACGTTCTTTATGATAAAAACATTACTTTTAAGGATTGCTAAAAAAAATGCTAAGCTAGAAAAAAAGTAATTAAACAACCAAAAAAAAAAACAAATCGCGAAAAGATTTTTTTAAGCAAAAACTAATCACAAAAGTGTGAAAAGCAATCGCGATCGCGATACGCTTAATACGAGCCCTGTAAGACTTTTTTATAAGTTCTAAACTATTAAAAACTATTACTTAATAACTTTTTTTTAACGACGTCTTTCAACCGAATGATATTATACTGTTTTTGCAAAACTAATTAAAAAAACTTGATTAAAACTTATTTATTTAATCACGACTTTTTTTTACTTGAAAATCAAAGTAGATATTTTAAAGTTGTTGTGACATACTAACGTGATTTTTAACGACTAACAATCGAGTTTCAATGGTGAAAAAATAAAATCAAAATGGAGTTGTTTTTCAGTGATTTCGGCAATTGCTTTTTGTTAGCATGCATTTATTATTACAATTTAGTGAAAAAGAAAAAAAACTTACATATTTTTTTTTTATGCTCTTTCATATGAGATCATATGTTAAGAGCACTTAGGGATCCCTTTAATTAAAGATTCAAAAACCTTGTTTATGATAGGGAGAAGACTAATGGGACGGTAGTTAAACAAGTTAGATCACTCTCCATAGTTTTTGAAAATAGGGACAATAGATACTGCTTTCAAGCAGGCTGGAAAACAAGACTCTAATAAACACTTATAAATAGTTTTAAAAGTATAGATGACAGTTCTGGAGAACACTTCTACAAGACTATAACAGGTATGTTGTCCAGACCACAAGCTGTAGAAGAGTCTAAGCAGGAAATAACTTACAGAAGCTGGAGCGATACGAATGTCAAGCAATCGATCAACCTGTTTGTCGGATATATCAGGTAGAACGCAACAAGTGGAATTAAGAAATGATATTGATGAGAAGTTCTTAGCAAGCAATTCAGCTTTGTCTTTAGGTGAGGTGACAAAGTCTGAACCATACAAGAGAGGTGAAAAAACAGATTTACCCTTGTTATAGATGCTGTTAAAAATTCTCAAGAAGTCATAAGAGCCTAATTTTTGAGATGAAATACGAGATTTTGCGACCTGAGAATAGTGGGCTTTGGCGTTAGACAAAACTCTTTTACAATGGTTTCTAGCTTTTGGTTTTTAGTTACGATTTTACTTTACTTAAATATTCATTTGATACTACAAAAGTTAATTTTTTTCTGTGTTTAAAATTTATTATTATTCAAACTTAGATGGAAACATACATAAACTTAAATCTACTCAAAACATCTGACAAGCCATGGTCAAGCGGTTGCAATAAAATATCATAAGCGTAGTCAGTAATAGCATCTGATTGCATGCTTTTCCTAACCCAGTGTGACTATTATTTTGTATTAATTGATGTGTCAACCACTTTTATATAGTATTAGTTGATATGTCCACTAAGGTGTTGTTAACAACCACTAATGTGTTGTTAACTACTAAAGTAATGTATCTATAAAAAATAAAGTTTGCTGTTGACTACTCTATTTTTAAAACATAAACAAATCTTTAAGTCAAGTTTAACTTACTTGAGTATAATTCATTTTCAGATTCAAAGTTTCTATAAAACCGTTATCTGAAGGGACAGTTTTGTCACAGAACAATATTTGAACTTGATGAAGCAGGTCTCTAAATATAAAGTTATTTTAAAATATCAATTACAATTATAATGATCTATAAATAAACAAATACATTATGCTAACATAAAAAAACAACAAAAAAACAACAAAAAAACAACAACAAAAAAATATATATATATATACTTGAAATATTCCACAGGTGTTGGCAGTTCATAGCATGTCAAATCTTTTTCAACCCTTAAAAAAACAATGTAAAATGAAAATCCCTGATTCACTAAAAAGATAAAAAAAAAAGAAAAGAAACTTACGCTTGAAAGCATATAATATCACCATCCATTAAATCATGAACTACCTAAAAAAATTGAAATAAAAGTTATTTTTAAAAAAGTAAAAAAGAATATATACACAAGAGAACAGCAAATACCTCATCAAACTTTTTGTCTGTTTCCGTACACTCTGTTTGACCTGCTTTTAACTCCTTAACAACAAAAATATATTTTTCAAAAAAATAAATTTATTTTACAAAATATGAAACAAAAATTATAAAGTATATAAGTATTATGTATTAGCGTGATCTAATGACTGTGCTATGGAACCTTGAGAAATAAACTTAAAGGAGACAAGACAAAAAAGAAAAAACAACAACAAAAAATTCAAAAATATAATAGAATCCATAGCAACAGAAAAAAAAAGCTTAAACAATACTTCTAACTTCTGTTATATTATCAAATGACAAAAACAAAAAAACAAAAAACAAAAAAAAAACCTCATAGAAAAGAAGTTTAGTCCCTTGGGGTAAACCAGCACGCTTACAAAGCATAGGAAACAAAGAAGACGGAGTAGACTGAAGATTAACATAATGGTGACCACAATATGACATAGTCTTGTATTTTGGATTGTAATATTTAAAAAATAAAATAACTTCATTGGAAGAGTCAAAGTCAGGAAGACTTGTGCAATCACTGTCAGGTGAAAGCATTTCTAAAAAAGCCAACATTGTTGGATCCTGGTCATTAGCATAAAATAATTCAATGTCATCTGGTGTTTCAAATCGACGCTTATCTTCATTACGAAGTTCTACCATAGCAGGACGAGTTGTACTGTTAGCTCGTTTTTGGATTGGCCATAATCGACATTGTGAAGCTGTATATCCCTAAAATATAAAATTACTTGAACTGTAAAACTTAGAAATATGGAACTGAAAAAGAATTCAAGCAGAAGAATAAAAAATAAAATAAAATAAAAAATAAAAAGAAGTTATTGAAAAGCTATTGAATTTTAAAAATACAAAAATCACATACAAACGCCTCAGCTATAATTTTTGTAGCATCACATAGTTTTTCTTTTTTTTGAATTTTGAAATTTCTAAATTTTTTAATTTCAAAAAAAAAAGAAAAAAAAAAAAAAGAATTAAAAACACAAATACTTCATGAAGAATCAAAAATAAAATCATTTCTAAATAAAAAACTTCATACACTGTTTTATTGTTATCCAAGTCAAAAAGATCATTTCCTGACCACTTGTAAAATGCATCCTCTGTTATAATCTAATTGTAATTATATTTAACAACAATTAATAATTAAAAACGCATCAATATATATATATACACACACATACACACTTTCTAGAATGAGTCAAATGTCCCTCATACTTAAAAATCATAAAATCGTTTTCATGTGTACGTAGGTATTCTCTGTGATCATTAAAAATAAAAGTCTTATTTATTTGCACATTTTTTAAACCAAGTTTTCACTATAAAAACGCATATTATGGCTGATTAAATGCCCTTTCTTTTGGTAAAAATAAATAAATTTATTTAAATGAACTGGGATGTTTGTGAGGTCAATCTACACAATAACTTAGCAAAAAAGAGACTTTAGCATTTAAACAGCTTTAAGCATTATTTTAAAGTTTTTAAACTCAAAATTTTAACGCGGTTTCTCAAAAAAAAAAAAAAAAAAAAAAACTTGGATTCTAGACAGTTTGGTGTCGACAGCAGAAAAAATATAAAACTAAAAATACTTTTCCTGTTATGTTAAAGTTTTTTCTCTTTTTTTTTAAGTAAAAAACAAATTTATAAATAAAAAATATATTATGCTTTAAAACTAATTTTTCATAAATAAACTTTACATAAATTTATGACAATATAAAATGACATAACCAGGGGTGTGGAGTCATAAAAAAAAAGTAACGACTCAGACTCCAGTTGTTGAAATTTTTTGAGTACAACTCCTATTCCAGTTGTTGAAATTTTTTGAGTGCAACTCCGACTCCAACTCCAATGCAAAATTTTTGAAAAATTCTTTGAATTCTTTAAATATTACACAATAAGATAAAAATTAATTTAATGTTTCATAAATTAGTCAAAAATTTTTTTTGACAAATTTATGAAACGTTCTTTGAGGTTTAGTATGAACATAAGGTTAATTGAATGTTTTGTACATGCACATGCAATACCGAGAATACTATTGGAGTCAGAGTCGCAATTTGTTTGGCGATACAGACTCTGCTAAAATTGTTTAAACTCTGCAACTCAGACTCCACAGCCCTGGACACAACTTGTATCACATAAACAAAAATCACATAAAACATGTCAAAGAATTTTTGACAACTTGAATAGAATCAAGGATCGCTTTAATAGTGCACCCTGATATAAATTAGCTTTACTGCTATCTCTCTGCACAATCATTTACAACAGCTAATTATTCTATGAAAGTTTTTAGGACTTTATATTCTTAGAAATTGTTCTTAACTCTAAGAAAAAATATATTAGCATTTAATTTCATTTTGAATGCAAAAAAATAATGTTCAACTTTAAAGTTTATTTTATAAAAATATTTTTTCTGAAATAAATCACTTATTTCTTAGAGCTATTTTTTAGAGTTTTATCACATTCTTTTATGAGATCTTATCTTATACTTTTGATACTGAAAAACTTGGTTTTCTCCACTTTGCATTCTCTTTCACCTCCTCTTTGCATTCTCTTTCACATCCTCCTTGTATCCTCTTTGTACTTTAGTTCTACAGGCTTAACTGATTAAATTCAAAAATTAAATCTAAATTGCTAGTAAAGTTCTCAACCTAACCTTATTTTACTATTTGAAGCATTCACAACCTTCTTAGTAGATTTATTCACAACCTTCTTAGTAGATTCATTCACAATCTAAGAAGATTATCTAAGTAGATTTATTCACAACCTTCTTATTAGATTCATTCACAATCTTTTTAGCAGAATCAATCACGATATTCTTAGATAAATGATAAAACTACTTTATTTCTAAGAAACCAGATTAAAATTCAGGGTCCTAAATGCTTGAGGCACAGCCTATATAATATTTAACTACAAGAAAGTTGTGTATAAAATGATCATGTAGATTTACATAATCAGAAAAAAAAACATTTGACTTTTATATTTTAATAAATAACAACATAGTGAAGCTAAAAGCTAATAAAAACTAATAACTTAAATATAATAATTATATGCTTTTGACTGATCAGGTTATTAACTTTTAAAAAAATATGATCTTTGTGTCGGTTGAGTGAGGACTAAAAATTGTACAAAATTTGAATTTGAAATGGGGCATTGGACTCACCCTAACACACACATATACATAACATACACATGCCTAATTTTGTGAATGAAGGTTACTGCCTGAATGTATTTTTAAATTAAACTTCCAAAAACAAATGCAAACAATTTTTACAGAAAGAGTAATGAAAAATTATGAAAAAAAAAAAGCTTTTATTTGATACAACTTTCAAAATAAAACTTTTATGAAGTTGAAAACATTAAATACATGTTTAATCTCTTAAAAAAAAACGCACATGCACATCCATGTATAGGTGCGCTTCACTTCTCTCTTTACGCCTTTGAACTTCAAGACGCCTAAGTAAAAAATGGTAAATTTTATAATTTTTTTTTTTTTTATAATAAAAGTTAATAAAATTATCAATTAAATTACGAAACTATCATTACAAAATTAAAATAAAATTAAAGTTCAAAAACTACTTTTCTTCAGAAAATTTGCTAGCTAAATGATCAGGGATACAATCTTCACCCACATCTGTTAAAATTGTTTCTAAAAAAATAAAAAACTTTGTTGAATAAAAAATTTGTTCAATAACAAATTTATTTGTTAACATTATATTTGATGTTATTATAGTTACAATATTACAACTAAAATATTATAAGAGAAATGTGTATATGTGAAAGAAATGTGTAAATGTGAAAGAGATGTGTATATGTGTGCGTACATGTGTGTATGTGTGTGTGTGTGTTTGTAGTGGTATTTTGAAAAAAAACAACTTATTCACAGAATTGAAAAAGTTCAATGTGTATCCTTATTAAATACCTTAAAGGGATCCCTAAGCGCTCCTAACATATGATCTCATATGAAAGAGCATAAAAAAAATATGTAAGTTTTTTTTCTTTTTCACTAAATTGTAATAATAAATGCATGCTAACAAAAAGCAATTACCGAAATCACTAAAAAACAACTCCATTTTGATTTTATTTTTTCACCATTGAAACTCGATTGTTAGTCGTTAAAAATCACGTTAGTACGTCACAACAACTTTAGAATATCTACTTCGATTTTCAAGTAAAAAAAAGTCGTGATTAAATAGTTAAGTTTTAATCAAGTTTTTTTAATTAGTTTTGCAAAAACAGTATAATAGCATTCGGTTGAAAGCCGTCGTTAAAAAAAAGTTATTAAGTAATAGTTTAAAATAGTTTAGAACTTATAAAAAAGTCTTACAGGGCTCGTATTAAGCGTATCGCGATCGCGATTGCTCCACACACTTTTGTGATTAGTTTTTTCTTAAAAAAAATCTTTTCACAACTCGTTTTTTTTTTGGTTGATTAATTACTTTTTTTCTACCTTAGCATTTTTTTTAGCAATTCTTTAAGGTAATGTTTTTATCATAAAGAACGTCACACAAAATTTTTTATTCTGAATAGATAGATTAATAGATAATTTGCTCTTTCGCGCTGAGATTTTCTTTCAACGTAAAACATTTTTGAATTTAAATTACATTAAATCTCTGCATGGAAAATTTTTACAAGGTCGTTAAAGCGAAAAGTTGAAAAGTTGGTTTTTATCTTTGTTTACCAAAACTTCATGTTTAAAATAAGGCTTAAAAACCTTAGGGCAAAAAAATTACTGACTTTTATTTGCATTTTTATACTGTTTGAAAAAAAAAACTAATAAAAAAGAATTAATATATAATTATTAATTAATATATTATTAGTTAATTCTTTTTTATTAGTTTTTTTTTTTCAAACAGTATAAAAATGCTAATAAAAACCAGCAATTTTTTTACGTTTTTAAGCCTTATTTTCAACATGAAGTATAATTCAATTTATTAAAACAAATTTTTTTGTTTTATCTTTTATTGGAAGACTTGAAATAGAAAAATTGAATAAAAACATCAACCATTTAAATGAAAAACTTAATTATATTTAAACTTTTATTAGTCCTTTATTCAAGAAACAATAAATTATAAAAAACGTGGTATCTAATTTTTTATTAAGTTTTTGACGATGTTTTTTGATTCATTGACGATAATTTTTTCCCCCCATTACCGCACATCGGCACAAGATATAAGAGAGAGAGAGAGAGGGGGGGGGGGGGAAGAAGAAGAGCAAAAAAAAAAATTTTTTTTTTCGCAATTAGATTTTTTTGCGTTAATTCGAGCCCTGTCTTAGTTTAATTTCTAATAAAATGTCTATTCAACCTTATCAATTTAAACCAAAAAAATATAGCAATTTAACATAAATGTTAATTTAACTAAAACATTTTACAATCATTATTTTTTATATCAAGCAAAAATGAGAGTAACCGCCACTTTTGAAACCATAAAAATTACTGAAATAAATTTATTTTTTTACTAAGGAAATATTTTAAATAAACTTTCATATGTCTAAGTCAATATTCATTTGTTTTTAACTGACTAAAAAGAGTTTAAAATTTGACTTCTATTCATTTTTAGCCGTGGAATTGCCCTTATAACACAAATATATATTTATTATAAAAAAAATTTTAATATACAAATATATTTTCACAAAATGCTACAAAACTTATTCTTGTAAGTAATTATGTGTTAGTTGAAAAAAACGACTTTACTTTTAAATTTAATTACCAACTAATAAGTTTGCAATAATGACATTTTGTCTACTTTGTTTAATTTGACGTACTAAAGTTAGTTTTTGGAGGCAATAGAGTCAATAAACTTTGGACAAGAAGCATTTTTTTAATCGAAGAAAAGTGTTTTTTTTTTTAATGCTCTTTCATATGAGATCATATCTTTATAGCACTTAGGGATCCCTTTCAATAAAAATAATATAATTTTAGGTCTCTAAACCCTTAGGTTTCCATTTTTCTCGAAAATGTTAAAAACCTTTAAATAATAAAAAAAAATCTGAAGTAAAAGTTATTTTTTAACTGATTAACATCGAAAATGTGTTTTTTTGATTAATATCGAAAAGTTTTTATATCGAATTTCACAAATGTGGAACAAAATCGAAAACAATAAAAAAGTTATTTTTATTTTAAAATATTTTTTGCTGGAGTTTTATTGAAAAAAACAACAACACATTTTTTGTCTAAAATATTTTTTGCTTAGGAGTTATGCTATTAAAACTGCTCATTTTCATTCTTTTGTCCACACATTTTCTACTCCCTTTAGTAACTGTCATGATGTTTTGGTTTTCAATGTGACTGTTTGTGAATTTATAAATAATTAATTTTTCTCTTCTTTAGTGACATATTGATCTATACATGATACAACAACAATAACTTCATCCAAGTACCATGTATGTGTAAGATGAGAACTTTAAAAACTTTTTCATAATATTTAAATAACTTTTTTTTTTTCCTTCTTTATTTTAAACTACTTTAATAGCAAAGAGATCTTTAAACAATGGATGACTTCAGAGTCTTATGATGAATGACTTTAGAAACCGAGAAACAAAAAATATTTATAATAAGGGTGCAATATTGTTAACATCTCTCTCACCTAATGTAATCAACTTTAGTTGATTAGATTACTCGGGAAAGCGGACTAGTATTGAAAATTAACTGATCGAAAAAATGATTAGTATTGAAAAATAACTGATCGAAACTCATTTTAATGATTAAGATCGAATATGTGATTTTCAGATTAATATCGAAAAGTTTTTATATCAAAATTCACAAATGTGGAACAATATCGAAAACAATAAAAACGGAATAAGATCGATTATTCCGTTTTATTAATTTTTATGATTAACATCGAAAACGTGATTTTCTGATTAATGTCAAAAACAACAAAAACAGAATAAGATTGAAAACTCATTTTAATGATTAACATCAAAAATGTGATTTCGATTTTGTTCCTTTTTTTTTCACAGTTTCGATATAATTCCAGAAATTCCCATTTCGATATTGTTCCTTTTTTCAGAAAATTCAATGTAATTCCGTTTTTTGAATTTTTGATACTATTCCTTTATTCACAATTCCGATATTATTCCAATAAGTCCCTTTTCAATATTTTTCTCTTTTGAGCTGTTTCGAGATTAATTTGCTTTTCGGATTTTTGATACTATTCCTTTTATAACAATTTCGATATATTCTCTTTTTAGATATTATTCTTTTTTTCAAAATTTCGAGATAATTCTATTTTTTGGATTTTCGATACAACTCCTTTTTTTACAATTTCGATGTTATTCTCTATTTCGATATTATTCCGGAAATTTTAATTCCGGAATAATATCGAAATAGAGAAATAATCTTTCCGGAATTAAAATTTCCGGAAATTTTAATTCCGGAAAGATTAATCAGTTTGGCTGTTTTCGATACTGTTACTGCTACCCGATTACTCTTATTAGTTGAAGTATCAATATATTCTTTCTAAAAATAGCTTTATAACATAGCTTTATGTATGTATGTATGTATGTATGTATGTATGTATGTATGTATGTATGTATGTATGTATGTATGTATGCATATATGTAATACATGTATGTATGTAATATATATAACAGCTCTCGGAATTAGGGTCGGCATTGAGCAATGCTAACCTAACTGTTGACGTAAAAGTGTTTGAGGTCCGCAAATAATTGCTGACCTTATTTCTATGTTTTATGGTAACCCTTTTGTATGAATTTTGCCGACCTCTAACAGTTTGAGGTCAGCAACTTATTGCCAACCTCATTTTTCTAATTGCGCGGGTTTTTGGAAGGTTACCAAACTTAAACAATTACATTGGGTTTTACCCTTTATTTTAGCCTGTAGTGTTAAATAAAAGTTTGTGCTTTTTAATACGACTAGCAGAGGAAGTTATTTTTGTCAATATAGATTTTAATTGTAGTTGGCAAAAATAAAGTTAAATTATGCAGAAAACAACAATTTTCTTCAAAGTTTTATTTTATAAGTTACCATTTCTATAAGTTACCATATTTTTATATGCTAAATTATGCAGAAAACAACAATTTTCTTCAAAGTTTTATTATATAAGTTACCATTATATCTTTTTTATTTCTAATAATATTAAAAAATAATAATAATAACTAAATAAACAAATAAATTTGCAATAATTTTCAAAACTATAAAACTTTGTATATAATTTGGCAAAATTTAGATGGAGAATTGGATTTTTTTTAATTTTAAATTGGAAATTTTAATTATATGAGCAACTCTTTCTGTTATTAGCAAGGTCTTTGAGTCTTTGATCAACAAATTCCTCACATCTCATCTTGAGTCAAATAAACTGCTGTCAGACAATCAATACGGTTTTCGATCCTCTCGCTCTACGGCCGACTTGCTAACTGCTGTAACTGAACGATTTTATCGTGCATTAGATGGAGGCGGTGAGGCTAGGGCTATTGCTCTCGACATATCTAAAGCTTTCGACAAAGTTTGGCATGCTGGTCTTCTCCATAAGCTTGCTTCATATGGTGTTTCTGGGAAAGTTTTTGAGATTATCAAATCATTTCTTTCTGACCGGTTTATTAAAGTCATCCTTGAAGGCCAACACTCTTCTTTATTTCCAGTAACTTCTGGGGTTCCCCAAGGTTCCATCCTGGGCCCTGTTTTGTTTCTTATCTACATAAACGATCTTCCTGACAACTTTTCATCTAAAGTAGCTCTTTTTGCTGATGACTCAACTTTATACTCCTGTCTTGACAAAAAGTCTTCTCTTTTCGATCGCCTAGAGCAAGCAGCTGATCTTGAATCTGATCTCACTTCAGTAATAGATTGGGGTTCACAGTGGCTTGTGAATTTCAACTCTAAAAAAACCCAATTGCTTACTGCAAACAACTACCGTAGTATGGTCAACATTCCTATATTAATGAATGGCAATCCTCTTACTGAGTCGTCCTCTTTACGTCTTCTTGGATTATCGCTTACTACTGACCTTTCATGGAAACCATATATACAATCGATTGCTAAATTAGCTTCTGCTAAGGTTGCTTCTCTTTATCGTGCTCGCCATTTCCTTACTTCTGATTCCATTCTCTACCTGTACAAATCTCTTATTCGTCCCTGTATGGAATACTGTTGTCATATTTGGGCTGGTTCTTCTAACGATTCACTTTCTCTTCTTGACAAGGTCCAAAAACGCATAGTAAATGGACTATCTGCTAAGCTTGAACCTCTTTCCCATCGTCGTAAAGTTGCATCTCTTTCTCTTTTCTACAGATACTATCATGGTCACTGCTCAAAGGAGTTATCATCTCTAGTTCCATCAACTAAAATTCATTCTCGTTTTACTCGTCATTCAGCTAAGTCTCATTCGTTTACTGTATCTGTCCCAGCATGCTCTAAAAACTTTTATTCATCTAGTTTTTTTCCCCGCACTTCAATCCTTTGGAACTCTCTCCCATCTTCATGTTTTCCTGACTCCTACAACCTTCAACTTTTCAAGTCTTCTGTCAACCGTTTCCTTGCTCTATAACTCTGTTCTTTTTTTTCCTAGTAACTCCCAACTTAATAGTGGTTGCTTGCAGCCTTGTTGGGAGTGAATGCAAATAAAAAAAAAAAAAAAAAAAAAAAAATTGGGAATACAGTGTATAACGAGATCCAACAGGGCTGGCTATTTATATATATATATATATATATATATATATATATATATATATATATATATATATATATATATATATATATATATATATATATATATATATATTAATATATATATATATATATATATATATATATATATATATATATATATATATATATATATATATATATATATATGCTTTCAACATAATTTTTCATAGTAAATAAAATACATATATATATATGCATGTATGTGTGGTATGTATGTATGAATGTATGTTTTTATGTATGAGAGTGATAGCCAGGAATATTCTTTTTTATCGCAGTTTTACAATACTGGGAATATTTTCTTTATTGTTCTACAAATAATTGAATTTTGAGAACTTTAAACCCATTGAATTCCGGAGTGTAAATGGTACCATGGCTAACACTGACTGTGTGAATGTGTATGTGTATGTGTATATGTATAAGTATATATACATATATATATATATATATATATATATATATATATATATATATATATATATATATATATATATATATATATATATATATATATATATATATATATATATATATGTATATATATACATATACACTTCTTAACAAAAATAATATATTATTTGAAATTAAAAAAACTCACTTAAGTCAGATGTTCTCAAGTAAGATAACATATAAGCATTTGTACAATGGCGAAGTACCACCTCATCCTTAAAAATATAACAAAAAATTAAAGTAAAAAAATATTAACACATAACTGCTAAGCAACATAGAAAAAAGAAGGGTAAAAAAAAAGAAAAAAAACCTCAAAACCACCAAAATTATTTTCAATGGCTTCTTTTTTTGTTGCCTAAAATCAGAAAGCTAAATTATTTACCATTAACACATACAAAACTTTAAATGTTCATAAAGTTTGCAGAAAAAACAAAACATTTATTAATAAAAAAAACATAAAGTTATCGAAATAAATGTTTAAAATCTCACTTGTGAAACAACATCATCATCAAATTTGAACCACTAAAATAAAAATATCAAAGTTAAAATACTTTATAAAAGAAAAATTAAAATTAATATAACATTTTTTTTACCTTTCCATCACCACGGGGATTAATATAGACAACATAATGACCACCATGATTATCACCTACAGCACAAAAGGTTCTACTTAAAGAGTAACTTAATACATATTACCATGCCACAAACAAATTATAACGACATTAATATTTTATAAATTAGATTTGATTGATTGCTTTTAAATTGTTTTTTTATTTTTTTGCAACTTCACTTTTTTTTCTTATCCAATATTTTATTCATATAAACCTATTATTATTGTTATTTGATTAAAATTACATATTAATTTTTTTTATTTTTTAGCCAGATAACATTGTTTTTTGCGGCATGCAGTGTGTTAAGTGACATTCTTTAAAAATAAAGGTTCAAATTAACAAAACCACATTTTGAAATTTAATTAAAAAATTTCACTATTAAAATTGTAAATTAGTATACAAAACGAATCTTTAACAAAATGGAAACTCACGCAAATCTTTAAATTAATTGATAAAAAAATATTGCAATGCATTGAATAAGTTTCATTTTTATTTTTATAAACATTTAATTGCAATGAAACATTATTGTTTTTAATCATTAGTAAAAACATATATATATATATATATATATATATATATATATATATATATATATATATATATATATATATATATATATATATATATATATATATATATATATAAATAAAAGAATTTATTATATAAAAATTATTAATAAAATAATTAAAAAATAAACTTTTTTTTGCATTTTAAAAATAACTGTAAAATTAAAAAAATATGTTATTTCATTTAAAACGTATTTTTATTTTTAATAAACATTAATGAACCATATAAAAATAAACTAGAAAATGATAACATAAAATAAAATGTAATTTTCTATACAATTTTTTTTCTATTTTTTATAATTATACTTTTGGTTCTTAAAATTAAATTCAAAAAAAAAAATTTAAAGAGAAAAATATTGTTACAAATGCATAACTTATTAAAGAAAAAAAAATTCAAAAAAAAAAAAAATTCAAAAAAAAAATGCTTACAAATAATTCTCAATTTATTTGTCAAATTCTATAACTAACTTTAGAAACTTTAAATGAGTTTGAATGAATAATTATGAATGATTGATGGCTTTTAGAAAAGAACAAATAACAAACACACATACAGACTAATAGATAAAAACTAAAAAGTGATTAAGGAAATAAAAATAGCAAAAGTTTTTTGCATAAAATTTTACGAACATTAAAAAAAAAAAATTACCACTATGCACTAGTACAGCATGTAATGTGTATATTGGAGCTGGTGCATTTGCTCGAAACTCTGGTTCAAGAAATTTTTCAAGATTTAAAGATTCCGGAAAAGCATATCTGAAAATAAAATGAAGAATTAATTTTCATGCAAAAATAAAATACTACATTATGAAGTAGAAAAAACTTTTAATATTTACTTACATCACTTACCTATCATTAATTTTATAGTTAGTGTCTGTTTGAGGATCATATTGAAATCGCAATAAGTGTAAATGTAAAACAGGTGGAAAATGTCGAAATATAACACCCTTTTTAGCATCCTGAGTTGAAAAAAATTTTAAGTTAAAAATAATTATAATAAAAATCAAGCTTATAAATTACATTTAATAAAAACATTTTATTTTTATCATTATTATTTGAAGTCAGAAAATTGCAGCACTTAATACATTCAGCAATAATAGTTTAATACATTCTAGACAGACTAAAACTTTCAGCTTAGGCAATTCTTATTTGTCTAGAGACACAGTTTAGATAAGAGTTTAAGGAAATGTTAATATATATTATATATATACAATACACTATGTTTTTACTTATCAAACATTTATTTGATTTAAATATAACTATTGCAACAACTTGTATTATTAAGATACTTGAATGATCTGATTAAATAAAGATATGATAAAGATATTTAAATGATCTGATTAGATAAAGATATGATAAAGATATATAAACAATTTGAAGATACTTGAATGATTTGAATGATATTTGAATATAATGATCAAAATATTTGAATGCAATGATCAAAATATTTGAATGTAATAATGAAGGTATTTGATAGTAATGATCAAAATATTTATTTGATTATAACGATTCCAATAGTTTTTAGAATTAAATTATTTTAATTAACAACTGCAATAATTTCTATGATCAAGATCTAATAAAATAATTATAATAAATTGTATAAAAAAGAATCTAAAATACGAAAAACAGAATATGGTCAAAATAGCTCAAAAGAGAATAAGTTTAAAAAGGGACTTTTTGGATTATTATCAAAAGAGATAATAAACTGAAATTTTGAACTTTAATTAATAGACTGCTTCCCCAAACCAAACACTCAGTCGATGTAGCAGCACTTCTTGCATGTTTTATCTATTTGTCAGTCGATGTAGCAAAACTCCTCGCATGTTTCATAACTTTGTTAGTTTTCTGACACATTTCCACATTCAAATATCGATATTATTTTGTATAAACATTATTTATTCTAAATGAATTTTTTTTCCCCCCAAATTTATTCCTTAAAATTAATTTTCGATATTAATCCCAAAAAAACATTTCAATCAAAAAATTTTTAATATTTATATGAACACTTAAAGCTATATGGATAATAAAGTAATAATATAAAAATGAGCACAACTCTTTTACAATATTAAAAAAACAATTGAATTTTTAAAATTTTTTTTAATTAACTACTTTTACTTATACTATATGCAAATATAAAAAACTTATATTTTAAATTTTATGACTTATGTCTAATAAAAAATAAGAAACAATAATAGCAACCTGTAATCCATGTTGGCCTGCATCATATTTATTATCTCCATCAAGCATTTCTGCTTTTATATATTCTGTGAATGAATCAATAACTGGAAAAAACAAAAAGAATAAAAGAACTTGAGAATTTTAAAATTCTTGATATTTTTTGAAAACATTATTGCAAACAACTTTTTCCCTTCTCAGCAATATTTAATTAATGCTTTGTTTAAGTTAAACAATTTATTAATGACCAAACTTGAAAAACTAAAATAAACTACTACTTTACATTTACAATAAGTATTGTAAACGATGTTTCCACAAGGTTGGTTTTTCTTGTCATGATCAAGATCTTTTCATTAAAAAATTTGAAAAAATTAACAAAAAAGGGTCAAATTTTAGATTTTCTAAAGGAACATCTATTCAACAAAATTTATTGATTAATAAAAATACACATAAACAAATTATTTATAACTATAAGGCAACTACCACTGCAAAAAGTTACATGAATATTTTGCAAGAATTTCAAATCAAAATAAATTTGTAAAAATAAGACTCTTGATATTAAACAAATATTTTCTTATTTTTCCAGTTTATTATTATTAATCCCCAATTAAAGACAAAATTTCTCTTTCTCATAACTGAAATGTTATGTTTGTACAAAAAGTAACATTGATCAGACCAACCTACATTAAAGCAAAAGAATTGAGAATTATTTAAAATGTCTCTAAAGATAAAATTTATAGTCTTCAGTTACTACATAAACCTGGACATTAATTGATATGAACTTGATATTGAATACTAGACCTATTAATATTAATAAAACTATTAATATTAATAAAACTAATAATATTAATAAAACTATTAATATTAATAAAACTATTAATATTAATAAAACTATTAATATTAATAAAACTAATAATATTAATAAAACTATTAATATTAATAAAACCAGCATTTTCTTTTAAAATTATTTAAACGTTTGTTAGAGATAATTTTTTAGGTATTTTTAAGTATTATCTACAATTTTGAATTAACCTTATTTTAATTGTACATCGGAATCATCACAACGTGAGCAATTTTGGATAAAAATTTGTTTTTTTTTTCGAAATGACTGCCAAAAACTAATAAAAAATATTTTCACACAAATATATGGTATACCATATATAATTTTATATGTTTTCTTGGGTGTTGGATACAAATATTACAGAAATTTATGCCATAAATACGTATAACTGTGCGTTTTAGGTCTGATTATAAAATGTAATTAATTTTAATTAAAATCTCTAATATTTATTTTTCAACATTTTTTTTTTTTTAATATATAAAACAGATTTTTGTTTTTCCTAGATTTTTTCTATTCTAATCTAAAATCAAATAATCAAAGTTTAGTGATAACTGACATTAAATAACAACCAAAGTAAAAACCAAAGATATTACATAATATTGTTTTTATTAATGTTATCACAAAAGAGTTTAAGAAAAAAAATTACCATCTGTTTTTCCTTTAATATTAAGTTGAATATCATAAAATGGCTCTTCCCTAAATAAAACAAAAACCTAAATAAAATCAAAAGTAACGAAATAAAATCAAAAAAGATCACCAAACCAATCAACATAAAATTTAAATTTGTTTACCTTGAAGAATAGTAGTCGACATTAGAGCATTGAATATAAGACTATACCAAAAAGTGAAAAGAACAAAAAATGAAAACATTTTTTAAATTAAATGTTTAAAACAAATTTATAATTAAATTAAATGTTAACAAATATAACATACATTCATTTTTCCCTCCAAAAGCTTAGGTATGATGCCCTAATGATAAATTTATATATATATAGTTAATAAAAAAGAGGTTTATCATAAGTTTTTTTAGAAGCAAAATAAAAAAAAAAAAAAGCTTTTTAAAGGTTTAACTGAACTAATCACAACAAAAATTTGTATACAATTGTATATAACAGTTTTATTCATAAATACTATATTACCCAAATGAGCTAGCAACTAGCAACTAACGAAAACCTGTAATAAATTGTTTTCATATATACTTTGAGCTCCTCACAAATTTTTACTCAATTATCTTCTAGTGGCTCACATATAATATCAATCATACCATACTACATTAAAGCAAAGCTTTCTGAAAAAAATATTTGTGACTATGATTCTGAATTATTTTTAATTTTAGTCTACCTTTTTAGCTGTCCTGTACTGCCAGTGAACTCTAAAGTTACACTACTAATATACATAGATACATACATACTCATATACATACATACTCAAATACATACATACTCACATACATACATACATACATACATACATACATACATACATACATACATACATACACAAATACATACATATATGCACACATATGTATATATATATATATATATATATATATATATATATATATATATATATATATATATATATATATATATATATATATATATATAAATAGAATGTAAAGAAAAAATCACATTACCTCAACGACTGTAGATTTCATCTTCATTTCCATGTTATCAAGAAGCTAAGAAAAAAACTCTAGATAGAAAACTAACTTTTGTAAGTACACAAAAAATAAAACTCAAACCTGAATTTTATACCAATTAAACTTAAGTACATAAATTTTTAAACTTTTATAAAAATATAAACAAATAAGTTTTAATATATCAAGAGTTAGTGAGAGCCCATATATTAGTTATTGATATGTTTTTAGCCTTCTTTGTTGGATATAACACTTCAATTGTAGCATTTTTATTTTTAACAAATAATTGCAAAACAATAAAATATATTGATTTAATCATTTGGTAGTATGTAAATGAAATCATTTAACCAATTAACATTATCAACTAATAACGAATTAAAAATTAAATCTGTCAATGTTTTTGAAGTCAGTTTACATGAGCAAAAAAGCCTCACAAATTATTGATTTTTTCATGAAAAAAGCAAAAGAATTTTATTATTTGCTTGTTAAGCATGAGCTAAACTCAAGCATGCATAACAAGTATACCAAATCAAGCATTCTTAGAAAATATATCAAATATTACAAAAATAGGAAAGGTGTCCTGCAGACATTGAAAACTTGTGTTGAAACTTTTTTTTTTTTTTTATTTTACTTCACCTCCTCAAGGCCGAGAAGGCCACTACAGACAAGGAGGCTACTTATTTTGTGGCTATAACCCTCTCTCAACTCTATAACTCCGAAACACGAACCTTGACGAACAAGGCCGCTGCGCGGAGAAACGAGTTGAGCGCGGTACTACCAGGGACGTGGTGGGGATCGAACTCGGAACCACTCGTTTATGAAGCGAGCGCTCTACCACTACACCACTACCGCATAACAATTATTTCAAGTGGAAACAAACATTTCAAGTGGACCACCAAACACATCGTCTAATGCTAATTAGCGCAGTAGACAAAAAGGCAAAAAGAGATCCTTACACAAGATCCCCCTTAACAAGCCAAAAATTTAGGGTATCCCATCTAGTCATGGCTGGCATAGCCTTTAAGGTTCTGCACAAAGTAGATCTAGTCACTAAATTGGACACACCTTGAATAATTGATAAAAACATAATTGCTAGAAAAAAGTATCCAATTATGCAGCAGAAGTGTCTGAAGGTTTAAACTATATTCTTATTATAAAGTGTGATAGGACAATCATAAATACTGGAGAGTTCACAATGAAAACTAGTTCATCTTGAACTGAAGAGAGAACAGGAACTTGAACAGAATAGCTGTGCTATGGGCTGCTTTTGAACCACATTTCAAGAAATTGTCTCTCTAATTTAATAAAATTTTTTATCAAGTTTTTAAGATAGTCCAGACTTAATCCACTGGTTGCATTGAGAAATCTTAATCCACTGGTTGCATTGAGAAATCTTAATCCACTGGTTGCATTGAGAAATCTTAATCCACTGGTTGCATTGAGAAATCTTAATCCACTGGTTGCATTGAGAAATCTTAAAGGTAACATTTAAGCCAGTTAACTGCTTATTGCCATCAGATGACATCCACTCTTAGAAAGGAACATTTTGGCTCCACATCAAAATCCATCGTTCAATTAAGGATGTAGCCTGGAACCTTTACCTTTTCATTCAGTCGTGCAGATACTTAGATAAAGTTAACAAGATTATCATCAACCCAGTGATTTGTCAGATTGCTTACTTCAAATTTTTAGAAAACATTCTACTTGTAATGCTGACTGATAATAAAACACATATCTAAGCTATTGCCATTCGCAAAGCCATAAAAGCATGAGAATCAGTCGAGGCAGTTAGACAAGCTGGAATTAAAATTTTTGATAAACAAAAAAAACTTCCAAGCAACCAACTACATCAAACTAATTGATTGGTTGTGCAACTAAGTAACTTTACTATCAATACTGAAGAAATATTACAGATGATTTAAAAAGTATGCTGGAAGAACTAATACTGATTGATTAGACTTTCACAAAAATCCTATGCCACATGCAAACTGTGAAAAGAACAGTAATAATGTTTAAAAAAGACCTCAAAGAAAAAGTGGTTATAACAAATGGGACAGATTTATTCACTTCGCTTTTAAATTGAGAAAGAACATGTATAAATTTAGGTGCAAAAGACACATATTTTTGTACTTTTAATTTTGAATACTTATTTCTTAATTCTTATATATTATAGAATGGGTCTGATCTTTAAAATCTGGTTTATAAATAATAAATGTTAGTTTGATAATGAAAAAACAGTGAATTCAATTTTTGGGTAATTTCAGGCTCCTTGCTAAAATACAACCTATTGTTCATGGGGCATCAAATTTTGCACAGTAACTAAACTTAAGTCCAACTTTAGCACACTACTGCAAAGTGTTGTGTCATTAGAAATATTTTTTACTTTTTTTAGCAGCTTTATGTCAATGATGTAAATAATTACTGCCGTAACTATTCCTTGATATGAAGCGGGTCATATAAATTTCAACATAAACTATTTTAATGCTTAAATCTTTAAATTCATCATAAAATTAAATAATTTTTAAATAAAACTTTTATTTAAAAAGCAAATTTTTTAAAAATATTTACATTCATTGTAAAAAAGTTTTTTAAAATAAACAACATAACACACATTTTTGAACATTTTGTACATATAAAAACAAAACAATTTTTTATTTTTTAATAAGATTTATTTTAGAAATGAACACTTAAACAATTTATATGTTTTAAATTAAAAAAAATATGTAAAACTGTCAATTATATTTAAAAAATATAATTGACAGTCAATTATTATTATTTTTTTATTGTTACTTTATTTAAAATCGTTTCACTAATATAAAAACACTTGTTAAGAAGTTTTGATGTAATTAATTTCACTTTTTTAGAAAATTTATTATTTAGCGCATTTCTAAAACGTTTTTTGAATTACCCGCGGTCAAACCGTCATAGCAAAATGTAACTTGCGTGGTCATATAAAGACGTGAAATCGTACGTCTTCCTGTGAAAGCCTGAAACTGTATGCAATACCCTTTGATAATTTACCATCTCAATTTGCAAAACCTAGGTTACTTTTACAAAATACCTTACTTTTATAAAAATTTACAAAAATTATTTTACAAAATAATTTACAAAATAGGAAGTGTTTTCAAAGCTGTCAAAGCTTTCAATCTCAATTTATTTCACCACATTTTTTGTAATATAAATAACTTATTTAGAAAAAATCTTAGTTTTGAAGTTATTTATCTCAGCGCATTTTTGAAACAATTTTAAACTCCTAAAAAAATTTGGTATGGTCATATGGTAAAAATAAAATATTGTATGCGTGATCAGGAATAGCATGTAAGTGCACACCTTCCCTATCCACAACTGAAGTTTAGAGAAATATAATATAAGAAATATTGTGATAAAAACACTTAAATGCTTATGCACTATGATGTCAGTTTTTATTTGAAAGTAGAAAGAGTGAATGTTATGAACAGTTAACAAAAATTATTTTGGTTTTTTCTAGTTTATCCATAGCATGTTAATCAATGGTATGCTTACCAATGGACTGAGTTAGATAATATATGATCTCTAATGATCAAGTGAAAAATCTTACCACTCTACATAACTCTTGAGCGTCATGTTGCATAAAACTATCTAAGGTTTCCCAACCAAACGACTTAGTAAGCTTTTTGGTAGCAACAGGTTTGTCACTAATAAAAAAAATTTAAAAGTTTTTTCTAAATTATAAAATATGTAAATAACAAAAAATTAAAAAAATCTAACCTATATCGGAGATTGTAAAAAATCTAACCTGTGTTGGAGATCATAAAAAACTCTTTGTAATGCAAGTGCAACACTTTTATTTATATCATCATTTTCGGTAGGCATTTGGTAAACAGCCTTTTAAAAATATATAATAATAAATACAACAAAAGACAAAATAATACCTAGTGGTAAGGTAACTAAAAGAACCATAACATTACATTTATAAATTCATAAATAGAAACATTGATGAGATTGATGTACTGAACTGTTTAAAGTAGTTATTAAAATTTTTCTTTATTTGGAAATAAAATCTTAAAACAAAAGATTTTCCAATTTTTATCCAACAAAGTTTTAATGAATGTAAAAATTTTTTGTCAAAACTAAACTCATTGTTAAAACAAACAAAATAAAGCGAAAGTTATTTAAAATCCCCAAAAAAACTGATTTTTCAGATTCAATGCCAAAACCATTAAAATTAACCAAACTTAATTAAAATATTAACCAATAAACATAAATATTCATTCATTAAAACATTTGCAACAAAACCTTTTAAACAATATTACTACATTTGTGTATTATTTATTATATAACACAGGGGTCGAATTAAGTGTTAGACATTGGCGCCCCCCAGACCATTTTTTAAGACCTGATTTATGAGGGGCAAACCATTGCTCATTTTTACTGAAAAAATGAACAATAGTTTGTTGCTCTCCTCCAGCAGGTCTCAAGAATGGTCCGAGAGAAGGTGATGTCCATCTCTTATTTTAACCCCTGTAAATTAATTGGTTTTCTCATACATAAAATATAAAATAATAAAATAAAATAGAGGTAATCAAAAAGTAGAGATAATAAAAAAATTTTATATTATAAAAAATAAAATAATATAGTAATAAAACATTAATTTTATTACATTATATCATTTTTAAGATATTGTGGCATTTTAAATTAATGCAACACACTATCTATATAATACATTTTTTTGTTACAATACACGGCACTCAATATTAAAGCGATGTCACAAGAATTTTTGTGTTTAAAAAAAAAAAAGAATTTCCGCATCAAAAGTATAAAAATTAACTAACTTTAAATTAATAGTATTTTTTTTTTCTATAAACGCTTTCATCTTTGAATTAAAAAAAATATAAAAGAACCATCTTTCTTTGTTAAATAAATATTTACATTAAACGAAATAAAAATAAACATTAAAATATTTTAAATGATTTTGGATCACTTTTCTGTTTTTGGCAATTTTTATGGAAAACCTGTCTTGGGCCTGCCAAGATTTGCTAACATAGCTACATGGTTGATGGTCGAAATTTGGAACACTTATCAATGACTGTCTATATCAGATTTCTACGTCATCCTGGTGATTTTTTTACTATAACTCAATTTTTAATGCATTAATACTTTTAAATTTATGAAGATGAAGTTATTGAAATTTTAATCTTTTATGCAGATGAAAATATAAAAATTACTTTATGTACTTCTTGCTATGTTAGCGAATATGTTTTTAAACTTGGCATGTTTTACAACAAATCGTTTTAGTTTTATGCTGAAATTTGTGTTGACATTTCTAAGCGTGAGTTTATTGCATTACTTCACGAGCTATTTACTAAAGATTTTTATTGAAATACTAAAGTTATGCAACCTTACACTATATTATTGTATGCATAGAAAGAAAGAAATTGCATAACTTTTTTAAAGTATGCATAGAAAGAAAGAAATTGCATAACTTTTTTAAAGTATGCATAGAAAGAAAGAAATTGCATAACTTTTTTAAAGGCTTTAGACTTAAAATGACTAAATATTTCAAAATCAAAATCTAGCTTTATTTTGTAATGCATCGAATTTATCAACTGAATTATTTTCATATTTAAAAACATACTTATTTAACAGCTAATCCCCCTTTAAACAACATTTTTCATAGTTTAGCAAAAAATGCGTTTTGCTTACAGACTTCAATAAAAACGGTTTTAGTTAATTTTTAACAATTAAGGTTTTTTTATTCTAATAATAGTCAAACAACAAGTCTATTTGATAATAACTATCAGAAATATATTTTTCTGATTTTTTTTATTGATAAAAAATAACAACAAATTACTATAATTTAGCTATGTTTCATTTGTCGCATTTTTTCTAAACTAAAAGAAGTTTTTTTACTATTATGATGAAACATTTTATTGTTGTTTTTATTCTTTTTACAAAACAAAATTGTCTCAAATATTTCAAAAGTTATGAATGTTTTAGTAACACCCTCTAAGTAAAAAAAAAAACAAGAAGCCGTAAATCTCAATCTGAAACAGCCATGAATAACTTATTAACTTAATAAAACTACTTTATAACTTTAATAACTTTTAGTCAGCTACAATCTGAAAATTTAGGTACCAACAAAATATCCTGTAAAAATCTTTTTGAGTGTTGATTATACATCATTAGAGTAGAAATTCATTTCGAGTGATTCAAAAATTCTACATTTCTGTCTGTAAGAATTTTTTAAGTTACAATATTTTTACTCATAGCATTTTTGAAATTGATATGTGATAAACTTCTTGCTGATGACACAAAGATAGATTAATTGAAGTATATCCAATTGATGACACAGCAAGTTGTTTCCATTAAGATGGATGTCTTTTGTATCTCTTCCACAAAAAGCTAAACCATTCTTCTTGTTTCTGCCACACCAAAAGTATGTGCAGTCATTATGTACCATAGTTTATTTAGAAGAAAAAAATCAGACCAGGGCTAATTTTCCTCCTTTAAATAAATTATGGTACATGATGACAGCGCGTACCTTTGGTGTGAAGGAAATAAGAAGAATGGTTTAGCTTTTTGTATATAACCCAATAAATTTAGAAAAACTGGCTTTTACAGAAAGATTCATCAATCAATCCAATTCTCTTAAAAGTTTCATTCACTACCATAAAAATTGATCACATTTGGCCTGTATGAGAAAGTTAAATTATTATCTCTGCAGATATTAAAAACTTGTAGTGTCAAACAACAAATCATTACTGCACTTGGTAAAAAACGCACAAATCATTACTGCACTTGGTAAAAAACCTATTCGAATGTCAAAGCTGCTCTTGACCTGTTTAAGGAAAATGTCAGATTAATTGATTACAACGCTTTCTTAACTCTTCAACTCCAAACTACAAACCTTGACAAAGAAGACATGAAGAAGCAAGTTGAGAGTGGTGCTACCAGGAAGAAAGTGGAGACTGAACTCGGAATTCCTTGCTTACAAAGCAAGGGCTGTACCTCATCACTACCTCATTATAATGTGACATGAATATTGCAAACAATCATGTGGCATACAGTCCTACAGCAATAAGCATCGGTGTTATTGGTTTAATGTTAACTCCTATTAAACCTAATAAACTGTGGTCAGCTTAGAACTTATGGTAAAATAAAAAAAAGTTCTGGAAAATTTCTTCAAAAGGTTCTGGAAAAGACTTTAAAAAGTCTTGAGTTTTTTAATAATAACCTTGAGCTTAAAGCTATGCTTTTTATGGAGTTCCTACTCAGCCATAGTATAAAGAAAATTTTTATGGTAGTGAATGAAACTTTTAAGAGAATTGGATTGATTGATGAATCTTTCTGAAAAAGCCAGTTTTTTAAAATTTATTGGGTTATATACAAAAAGCTAAACCATTCTTCTTGTTTCCGTCACACTAAAGGTACGCGATGTCATCATGTACCATAATTTATTTAAAGGAAGAAAATTAGCCCTGGCCTGATTAAAACAAAAACTCAAAACATAGAGAGAGCACTAAATAAAATTGAAACTAGTATTAGATTAAACCTCCTTATACAGTTAAATTAAGTGATCACAAATTGTAATATCTGGAAATGCTTCTGGTTTTTAAATTTTATTATTTTTATAATCAATTTCTTTTTAAAACATTTTAAACAAATAATTCTTTAAAGTTTCCCTCTACAAAAATTTGTTTTAATGTTTCGTACAATGCACAAATAGGTTTAATAAAACTTTTTATTGGTTGATTTTAAAATTATTGAATAATCAAAACATTTTTCAGACCTTATGTAATTATTATTTTAACTTTATTTAAGCATAATGTTAATTGCTGTAGCAAGCTTTGTTTAAGGCTGAACATAATTTGAACCCCCATATTTAAAGGGGATGGGACATTTTTCAATGTCTATTAAATTGGCCTTTAAGTTACTAAAAACTGTAAAATTTTATATAAAAAGACTTCATCGAATATTTACAGTATTTTACAATATTTTTCTTAATTTGAAGACATTATCAATTAATCTAAAGAAAAAAGTAAATAAAAATTTGTTGCTAAATTTAAACTATTTAAAAATATAGTTAGCAATAAAAATAAAGAACTAATGATTTCGAGGTCATAAATTCTGCCGCTATGTTTAAATAAGTGCTTTTAAGACTTGAGTCTCACTCGCCACAACCTTGCTTGGGCACTTTTAAATTAATAAATCAAAAAACTATACTATTCTTTAAAATAGTTTAAATTTTTTTAACCAATACTGCCAAGTGAGTAATTTGTGCATGTGTGTTTCTGTGTTTTAAAAGCATCATACCAAGCAAATTAATTTTTTATTTTACTGAATATTTAGGTCAAATATATTTCTAATGTCTAGATAAATTATTATAATCTAACAGAGCTAGTGCATTTATTACTTTTTTTAAAGATGTTTTGAATGCAATTTTTATACATGAAAATCTTCCTTTATTTTTTAAAATTTTATATGCTATTTTTACACATAAAAATCTGTTTTTTTAAAACACTATGCAAAAATAATAAAAAAAAAAAAGGTGCTTATTGTGATATAAAAAAAGTGTGCTTTTCTCTCATTAACATATATATATATTAAAATAAGGGTTTAGAATGAAGTTTGTTGAAGAACTTATTTAAGGCATAGACTAGTAGCTAATAAACTAACTTTTTCATAAATACCATTATTTAAAATAACATTTATATTTCATATCAATAAATTAAATAATCTTATCAAAATCAATAAAAAAATATTTTAGTTTAAACATTTTGTGATAATTTAAACATTTTTTGCTGATATAAACTGAACGTAATAAATCCTCAAATTCTCTCGGCGTTGTATGAAAGTAAAAAATCTAATATATCGTTTTTGTATGTTTCTTAGTGAAAATCACTCGAAAGTTTGTATCTGGAAAACTCACTGAATCTTTAGTGAAAAGTTTCTCTTGCCTGTTCTCTGTAAATTCCCAGTCTATATCCATCTTCAAAACTCCTTTACATGGCAAAATAATATATGCAGCTTGGTACTCTTTGTTTTGATCTCCAAGGTAATAAAAATATCAACAAAAAAATTTATCGCTTTTTCAAAATCCATACTGATTATCTTGCTAAAACATGAGTAAACCACAATATCAATGCACCAAAGGCATCACAAAACCTCCTAAGATCTTCAAGAAGAGCATGTTCTAAACTTGTTTGTGAATCTTATCTATTTCTTACACTGGTTTCCTTCACCATGAAGTTTTTATCTGACAAGGGAATTCCTTTCTAGGAAGATTTCCCATTTTTCTTGTCTTTATCTTGTTGATAGGTTATTCTTTTTTTTTAATCATTTGATGGATTTTTAATCCAGGTGAGTTCCTCCACATCTTTAACGACAACAGGTCACACAATTAAAGTCTCAGTTTTCGATTTATAGAAATCAAGGTCTACTGCTGAGAAGTACTCCACTAAAGACCTATTGTTATCTACCATGAATTCTTTAAACCCAGATTTTATTGATTTTTGTCTGTGCTTAACCTGAGTTGTTTTTGATATTGCAACCATATCAGAATAATTTTTACTTCGGGTTAGGAAGGAGAGATAATTAAATTATATAATATATATTCTCATATAATAAAGTACTGATAATTAAAGTAACCAAAAAAATAAATGTCAAATATAGTCAATTTTATGAATTTATAAATAATTTATAATTTATTAATATCTTTAAAAGGTTTCTGGTTCAACCGCTACTTATTTTACTGATTTTTAGCAATTTTTTATATATAATTGAATTACAAGTTTGATTGTTTACTTATTTTAAAATTATTTAATTATTTAAATTAAAAATGAAAAAAACACTGTTAATTGATGGGACATGCTTTTCAAATTTTGTGAAATACTTTTTCGTGTACACTATAATCATACCTTGCTAGAAAACCATACTTTGGGCGTGTGCACTTTTTTAAAACATAAACACTGTTGTGGGGAGGTGTAAAAATTTTTTAATCTAAAAATGATTTTATTTTTTGTATTTTGTGAATATTTTATATGGTAGTTAAAAGAAAAAGCTAGAAATATTACACACATGCTCAAAAAACAAGCTAACTCGGAAAACATTTACTTTTCACTGTTTTACAAAATTAATATACGTATACCAAAAGTAATATATAACAACTTTAGTGTTTTATTTCTTTTTTTAAAAAATGTGCAGTTCTTATATTGATAAACTTGATTATAAAAATTTGATTTAAAGATTTGTATTTTTCGCTTGTGGGTCTTTATTATTCTATATTTTTGTTGAAATATTCAAAGAATACACAAATAATTTTTATAACAATAATTTTGAAAACAAAGAAATTAATTTTATAAAACTTTATAAGTTTATTGCAATAAAATTTTTTTGAAAATTTTCAACCAAAATTAAAACAATTCTCATGGTTTTTATAGAATGATAAAACTAAGAATTATATTTTACCAGATATATTTCCAGATACTACAATTGAACGTAGATATGCAGAAAGCAGCCAGCCACAAAAACTCAAACTGAGATAAAAGCATTTTTTCTAAATATTGAATAATCAAATATATACAACACAAATATTTTGTGAGGCAATTATTTTGAATTTTGTATAAAAGCCACCTGGCTGGTTTTAGTAGAGCAAAAAATTGACCTTTCTCCATCGGGTGACATCAATATAGTAATTTGTCTGAATTTGTGGACTGGCTGCTTTCTGCATAACTCTGTTTAATTCAAAATCACTAAATTCCCTTCTATTTTTCCCCCCTTCACCCATTACTATACAGCGCTCAAATAACTGCCAAACTATTTTTGGGGAAATTTCGAAAAATTCATAGGAAAATAACCTGTTTTTGTGAAAAAATTACATTTGATCAGCAAGCTTCGAAAAACTATTTCGAGTGCTGACTATATACTATATATTATTTACAATGAAATTTATTTACTATATAAAAAAATATCAATAACTAATTAATCCACTTTATGTATAATTTAAAAAATCTTAAATTACATGCGATAGTGGTGTAGTGGTAGAGCGCTCTCCATATAATCGAGTTTTGAGTTCAATCCCCACCCTGTTCATGGTAGTACCATGCTCAATTTATTTCACCGCACAACATTATTGAAGAAGTGAGGGTTGTAACTTTAACTAAAACAGTCTCCTCGATTGTAATGGCCTTCTTGGCCTTGGGGAGGTGAATTAAAAAATTAAAAAAAAACAAAAAAAAACAAAACATAAACAATCGCGAAAAAAAATGTTTGAACCAAATGTTTGATAATGAAATCAATGCTATAAAAAACAGGCTTAAATAAAAGACTACCTTTCGTAATTGATTTGTGAAAAATAAAGTCTGCAGGAGTGAGTTCATGTAGCAAGTTGCACCTTGATTTTTCAAACCAACATAGCCAGTGAGCTTTTTTGAATCCCAACTAAAAAATTCAAAAGAAAACATCTAAATCTGTATAAATAACTAAATTGTCAAATCTATAAGCAAATTAACTGTTTATAGCTGTTTAAAAAGATGATCTTCAATTAAAATTAGTAACTAATTTTTTAATGCATTTTATTTCTAATATTGTCAAAAAAAAATTTTTTTACTATGAAAAAACATTAACTATATAAAGCGTATAATATACTTCTAAAAAACATATCCAATGCAAAAAACATATCAATGCAAACAAAACAAAAAAAAACCATTATACTTCTGTTTATTAGACTTAGTTAAAACTAAGTCTAACTATTTGCCTTTTAACTCTTAGTTAAAAGGCAAATTTTTTGTTGTTTTTCGTTAATACTTGGTTCTATTGTTAAATGTTGATTATTTTAAAACTTAAAAACTGTACATTATTGCTGTGTTTGTTTTTTTAACTATCTTAATACAACTATAAAAAATTTGTCATTTTCAAAGCATTGTGGGTTGATATGCTAAAAAAATGAGCATAAATATATTAAAATCAATTCAAAAAAACTTACAAAACACCATGAGGTGCTTCTGCTTGAACAAATGCTTCTAGGGTAATGATATCATTTTTACAGTAACCTTTATGAACATCAATCAGATCCTATTTTAAATATATGAAATGTAAAATATAATTGAAAAATATACATATTTAATATTATAACACACATGTTGTCAGAGTTAAGGTTGTTACTTTTTTAAAATACTTAAGTAAAAAGTAAAAGTACTGTAAAAGTAACAAAGTAAAAGTAAAAACTTGAGTAAATTTAAAAAGTATTGCTAGACTTAAGTAAAAAGTACTGCAAGACCTACTTAATTAAAAAATATTGCTAGACTTACTTAAGCAAAAGTAAAAAAAACTGATAGACTTAATGTAGTTTCACATAAAAAACAACTGTTATCAATTATGGTAATATTACTATTCATTACATTATTCAACATAATATAATGAATAATAACATTTGCAATCATCCTTTTCTCTGAGATGATCCCTGTTGTTGTTGTTGTTCCTATCTTGTATTGAGAGTTGCATCTGGCATGCAAGGGCTTTATCAAAACGTTCTCTCCAGTTTTTAATTTTTTAATTATCTTCTTATAACAATCACATTTGTATGATATAATTTGTTTGCAGGTGCAGAAGAATTACTAGAGAAATTTTATTGTACCAATAAAATACCTAAATTATGCTGCAAAGAACTCTTTGCAGCATAATTTAGGTAGTTTAATAAAAAGAGAAAATAATGAGCTTCAGAATGCTGCACTATTGTCCATCAGTATTTTGTCAGGACATTGTCGAAATATCGTGTTTAATTCTTGAATAACACATGCACTGGTTTGATCTTTAAGATGGCGCCATATTGCATACCCAATAGGTTTACAGTCCATTAGGGTAAGATAGTGCTACCTCATAATGAGTTGTACCACAATCTTTTTACTTTTATTTCCCCTTTTGGCCATTTTATTGGATCGATTAAATGATAGGTATGCATTTCTTAGCTACTTTTTCCTTGCTTACTTTTTACTTTTTACTTGCTCACTGACGCACAGATTTTACAAGCAAAATACAATGTTTTCTTAAGGCCATAATGTCCTGTAGATCTGTGAACATGTTTGATTTCTTTTGAAGATATCGAAGTACTAATAATTCCATTTCCTGCTATTTCAGTGGCTTTATTAACCATTTTAATCAACTGTTAGGAACTCAAGTAAGAGCATTGGATAAGTTAAACTAAAAAGCAACAAGATTGATAACTACTCTGAGTTGGTATTTTTCAATATATTCATAATACTCTTCTTTCTATCAGCATTTTGTTTGAAGCTATTGTCCTCAATCTAAATTTTCCAAGAACTCATGCTGATACGCGGAACAGGGGCTTACAATGAACCCTACCTTTATAAATGGTAAAGTATGCAATGAACAAGTATTATGTCTTCATCACAAAAATATTACCAATAAATTATGACATTTCTTTCCAAATTGTTCTGTCTTGCGATAGAATTTTGTCCAACACCGCTTCATTATGACTGGCGCAATGTTTAGTCTGAATCCCAAAAAACATGTTAAAAAAAACATTTTCTCAAAACTGTCTCTAGTCTCAAAATTTGTCATCATACCCATCTGTGTTGGCCATGAATACTTCATTAAGTGTTCAGCTTTCTGAAGTCTAATACTGGTCATATTTTTTTCTTTATTTTGATGCACCACTGCCATGAGAGGAATCAAATTCTTTATTGGACCGAGTTTGTTCAAATTGTACTTTTTCAACTTTTTTTACTTTGTCCACCCTTCAATTTTTTTTTCCTAATTGTGTTTTATGTCAACAGAATAGTGTATTTCAGCAATTTTTATTCACTAGAGTTTCAGATGGAGAATTATTATTACATTTCCATGCAATTATTCTCAGTTTTGTTTTTCAAATGAAGCTGTGAAATACCAAGCTATTATATTCATGTTACTGAGATTTTTTAGCATATCATATTTTTAGCATATCTTCTTAGTCCAAAAAAACATAATTCATTTTTTCAATAAAACAAATATTAGGAGTTACAGATATTAATACTCAACCAAGAGCCACTATTTCATTCATACCCAAGTGGTACAAGTGCCAGTTTCAAAAAAATTGTCTACTTCTTATTTCAGTTCCTAATTCAGTTAATAACTCATTTACAATTATCAATTTCTTTTGTAAATTTTTAACAGGATATTAACAGGTTATTAAGTATCATTATCAAAGTTTCAAGACAACACTTTTAAAGCAATTTCCTAATATAATGTAATACAATATTTGTAACCAGACAATAATTGTAAAATAGTCATTTAACAATTGAATTGAATTAAGATAAGATTTTTTTTTGAAACTGTTAGAAAATGTTGCTAAAATTTTAATCACATTTCTTGTTTAGTTTCACATAAAAACTCTTATCTCTAATGTCTTCATCATCTCATCCAATTTATCAACTTTTTAGTATCTTGAAATATTTATATTTTTTTGTAACAAAAGATTAAATGTATTGTTGACATAATAGTCTGACTTATATGTCGACATTTACATTTAATCTACATTTAATTTACATTTTATTTACATTTAATACATTTAATCTTTTATTATAAAAAACATGGCAAACAATCCAAAGAACACGTGACCAAAGTGGTGGTCAGACATGTGCAACAACAATAAAGGAAGTGTAAATAAATTATCAAATTTTTTTCCTTAAATTTTACTTTTGAATTCAATAATTTTTGTTCATTAATAATAAATAATTTAACTTCTATTTTCTTTTCTGATGTTGATATTCAATTCTATTTCAGTTCTCGTTCTTCAAATAATTCCTTATTTCAGATTTCATTCACATTAACAAAATCGATTGATTTTACTTTCAATTTTTACTTAACGTTAACTTAAATGTTGCTGTTATCAAAAAACATAAAAAACTTTTAAGTCAAAGTGTTAATGTAAGCAAACACTTAATTATATTGAAAAAAAAAAAAAAAAAAAAAAAAAAAAAAAAAAAAAAAAAAAAAAACAAAGCACAAAAAATACTTGCATTCCATGGAACAAATGTGCTATACCCCCAATCATTTTCTTTTGCAAAAAATAAATGTGATATTTCTAAGAATAAATTAACAAATAATGATATTAACAAAATAATATATTAAAACAATCTAACAAATATAAAAAAAATTTAAAACAAACTAATCTGTTAAAACAACAATATAATTTAAAAGTTTAAAAAACCATGTTTTTATTTTAAACCTTTTCTTTTTTAATTTTCACTAATTGTTCGTAAGATTCAAAGAATTGTCGAATTGCTTTTGAATAATTTGATTTTTGAAAATTTTTAATTTCAATTGATAATTGATGACGGTGGTGGGATAAATAAAATAGGTAATATAAACTATTAGCAACCCTAATATTCATTTTATAAAATATAATATTAACTGCCTGTAAAGTTTTAGTTATTTATTTTCTTTAATTTTTTTTATAGTAATCCTTATTTAAACTTTGTGTTTAAAATCTATTACTTCTAACTACATCCTCTCCTTTGTGTGATTTTAGGGTTATCTTGGCATGAGCTTGACAAGACCATGATGCAACGTCACTATCAGGATCACATTGAACAAAAACACCAGCACTTTTTGAACGTTCATTACTTTGATTTACACTGTATCGAGGCATAAGCATGATTCTCCTTAAAGAAATGATAAAAATTTTAATAAAAAGGTAAAATTTCAATATAGTTAAATTTTTTAAAACTTCCACTTTATTATAATAATAACTTTTTCATCACCTATTTTGATTTTATATCTATATCTATATATATATATATATATATATATATATATATATATATATATATATATATATATATATATATATATATATATAAAGAAATATAATCTGGTTTAACCCACCATACAATAAAAACGTTCTCACAAATATAGGCAAAACCTTCTTACAATTAATTGACAAACACTTTCCAAAACCAAACCCGCTTCATAAACTATTTAAACGTAACACAACAAAAGTCAGCTACAGCTGTACAAGCAACATAGCAAAAATTATAAAGAACCACAACAATAAAATTATTTCGATGAACCCAACGGCCACTTTAGCTTGCAATTGTAAACTAAGCAAAATCTGCCCTATAAATGGAAATTGCAGAAAAATAAATGTAATTTATAAGTGCATTGCATCATTCCCAAACACATCCGACAAAACATACATTGGTTTAACAGAGGGCATGTGGAAAACTAGATGGGCAAATCACAAGCAATCCTTCAAAAATAAAAAACTCACAAATGCAACCACGCTTTCTAAATATATATGGGATACACAAAATAAAACAAAAACAACACCCAATTTAAAATGGTCCATCATAAAATATGCCCCCGCGTACAACAACATAACCAAAAAATGCTTGTTATGCTTATACGAAAAACTAATTATTTTATTGTATAAAAATCCTCAAGAACTATTAAAAAAAAAAAAACGAATTAATATCTAAATGTCGCCATGAGAACAAGTTTTTGCTGGACATCCACAAACCAAAAGATTAGATTTTTTAACTCATTTTCTTTTGTACAGATTTATTATTTATTTTTACGAGAAAAAAAACATATTTACACCTGATGATTGCATTTAGCATGAAACTAATAGTTGTAAAAAATATGCAGTTTTATTTATAAATAATATATATATATATATATATATATATATATATATATATATATATATATATATTATAGTTTTATATATATATATATATATATTATAGTTTTATATATATATATATTATAGTTTTATATATATATATATTATAGTTTTATATATAGTTTTTGTTTAATGGTTTTTACATTAAGTGTACTTGATTTTTTCACAGAATTGTCACAAAGAATCATTAAGCCCTCTGTTAAACCAATGTATTCACAGAATTGTCACAAAGAATCATTAAGCCCTCTGTTAAACCAATGTATGTTTTGTCGGATGTGTTTGGGAATGATGCAATGCACTTATAAATTACATTTATTTTTCTGCAATTTCCATTTATAGGGTGTTTTTTACCACAATTGGTAAATTTAGATGTCAAACTATAGGAAAATGTATATACATAAACACATAAATTAATAAAACACTTTTCTAATTTTTTTTTTTTTTTAATTTAATCTATTTATAAATTTAATTTTTAATTAAATTAAAAATTGAATTTAGCTGCTCCTCTCATGTGACTAGAGCTATTGGTTTTTACAAGTACAAAATTTGATTTAAACTTGTTATAAGCATATGCTTGCAACATTAATATTACAAGAATATATACATAACAAGCATCATTTCTCATGCCGTGAAAAAAATGTATCCATTTATTTATTAACAAGTTTACTTATTTGATAAAAAATTTTAAAAAACAAAGAGCTATGAAAGTTTTACTGCTTATAAAAAATGTTTAATACTTTTTTATTGTAATAGAATTTTAAGAATTATTACAAATAAAAACTCCACAATAAAAGAGTTAGTATTTTATTTTTTAGCAGAACATTTAATTGTCATTACACCTTTTTATTTTGCTGAAATTGAGATAAATTTATATAATTTAACATAATCAATATTATAATTGATTACATTAAATAAAAATGATTATGCATTAATTTAGAGTGTAATAATTTTATATTTTATCAGTTAAATAATGTTATATTTTATTAATATAAATTAGAATGTAATAAGTTTATATTTATCAGTTAGCTTAATCTAATTAGAAACATTTGCATTTCAATAGGCGCTTTTTTGTTGTTGTTATTGTAGTTGCAATAACTTGCCATCATTATTCTCATTCTCTTCAGATAAAACTAAACAAAGTAAACACAAACAAAGGGGTTTAAAAATCATCGTCACAGCATTTTAATGCTATGACAATGATTTTTATCACCATTTTAATTGGGCTGAAGTGAAGTAAAGAATATTCAACCCCCACCCCCCCCCAACATCGCTGAAGAAAATAGGTATCCCCAAATAAATTTCTTAACTGTTTCATTAACAAACTGTTTCAACAGACTATTAATAAGTTTTTTCATACACAACAAATACTATTTGACAAATAGAAAAATTCTATTGTATATTGACTAATATTTACTTTAGAATTTAAAATTATAATAAAATTATAATAAAATTATAATATAAATATATAAATATATAATATTATATACATGTTTTAACAATAATTTTAAATTCTATAACTTTTTTTTTTTTTTAACATATTCTTACCAAGGTAAATTTCGAATTATTACAGGCTCACTAAGTACAGTTTCCTTGATTTTACTAACATTGTGAACTTCAAATGTAATTAGACCTTCTGCTCTACAGTGATCTTCATCTGCCATTTCCACATCTTTTATATTTTCATTTAAATGATTTTCTTTAGCAGGTTCATCAGTACCTGAAATATTATTATTAAATTTTATGTAAACAACGCAAATTTGTTGAAAATTTTCAAAAACTAAAAAAAAGGTTTTTCCAGGTGTGAATAAAGAAAAAGCAAGCAATATCACAAGAAACTTTGTTATCAAATATATTTGTTATTGCACTCAAATTTGTCACAGAAAAAAAAAATTGATTTAAAAAAAAAATACAAGTAACATTATTAACCTCAATCTTTTAGAGGTCGGCATCAGGTCAGCAAAAAAAAATTGATACAAAGGTCTTACCATAAAATATAGAAATGAGGTCGGCAATTTTTTGCTCATTTCAAACACTTTTAGGTCGACAGTTAGGTCGGCATTGCCTAATGCTGACCCTAATTCCAAGATTTGGTTATATACATATATATATATATATATATATATATATATATATCAGGCCTTGCGATAAAGCGTCGGGCGATGTGAATTTTACGTCGTCCAAGGGCGATTTTGCGTGTAGCTAGGGCTATTTGCGTCGAGCAAAAAATTTTTTGTTTGAGTATATTTAAAGATATTTTTGAGCGGAATTTTAATGAAGTAATTGACGATTATTTTAACATTTAATAAAGTATTTTAAAAACCGCATGCAGTTGAAATAAAAGTTTGAATTTAAAAAAATTAAATATGCTCATTATTTTCAAGTAGAAAAAATTCAAAAATTAAAAAAAAAAGTTTAAATCTTTTAAGCTAACATTTTAATAAAATTATTCAGCAATAGCAACGTTGTCGATAAAATTGAACAAAAATACTTTCTTTTAGTTTTAGATTTTAAACTTAAATAATTAATTTACAGGGGTTTGATAGTTTTTAAAATTATTCCATAGATTTAAAAATATTTATTAACTGTTAGACGTATTTAAAGTATTTAAGAGTGATTTCGAGGAAACATTTTAAAAATTGCTGAGGGCAAATAAAAAAAAAAAAAGATTAATATTAAAACGTATTCTACTTGATTCAATGAAAAAGTACAGTTATTAAAATTTTTGTAAAAAGTAACTCAAAAAAATTACTTATACTAAATAATAACGATCGCTTTTATGTTAAAAGTTACCGAAACTCAACGAAGCGTGCTCAAGAACAGCTGCTGAAATATAGAACGTCAATAGTTTTTCGAATAATTTTTAAGAATAATTTTTAAGAATAATTTTTTCGCTAAATTATTTCTTTTATACCTATAAGATTTTTATTCTAACATTTTGTTTTATTTTACTAGAAATAAAATTCCTTGTTAACATTAAAAATCTATTCAAAACGTTCGTTTAAGTTTTTTATTAATACGAGTGATTGTGCTTATCAACCGCTTTATGAAAATAAATAAAAATAAATAAATAAATATTATATAAAATCGCTTGTAAAAATATTAGCTATTGCACAGTTTTTAATCGTACAATATTAAAATTTCCAGTTAATTACTCGCTGACTTTTTAAAAAGAAAAAATAATTATTTGAAAAACTTTAAATTACATATTTAAGAAAAAAAAAAATCAAATATTAGCATATTTTATAATCTTTTTTAAATTTAAGTTATAATGTTTTTTATTCGTTTAGTATAGACAAAACGTGACAAACTCGAGAAAATAAACAAATGTTTTTACATTTTAAAAAACAAAACATTCCAAAACATTTTTAAATAATAACATTTCTACATAAACGATTTAAAGTAGTTTTGCGGTAATTAAATAAATTGGTGCAGTTAATGTCGATAAATATGAAAAGCAAATAAAAAGAATTTAATGACGTCAAAAATCACGTCGTGCTTATGCGTCGCGCAGCTCTTATTCATCGCAAGGCCTGTATATATATATATATATATATATATATATATATATATATATATATATATATATATATATATATATATATATATATATATATATATATATATATATATATATATATATATTGCTTCTCTTGTAGCAAGCAATATGCTGCTGCGGTTTGAGATCTCAAGCTTTTGTCACATCACCAACCTTAAACTTGGATGTTTACATCAAGGAATGCTTGCAAGCTAGACAAGCTAGTCATGATGTTCCCTGATAATTTTGACCTGATTTTGCTTTTTGTCATTATTCTAAAAAGACCGTAGAATGGTACAATTTGAGAGACATCAAATTCATACCTAAAAACCTGAATCCATTAAACTGCCCACAGTTCCGTTCCATTGAAAAATTTTTGGGAATTGGCAAAGGATATTTGCATAAGAGTAGAAAAAAATAAGCACAGCTAAAGATTTGATTAGAGAGTTCCATGCCAACTGGGTACAGGACTCAGTGAAAACGTAAGAAAAATGTCTTTTAAACGTTTTGGATGTCTTTTGAACATTTAGGACATCTTTGGGATGTTTAAAAGACACCTTTTTTTAGGTATCATGCCCACTGGATAGAGTTAAAACTAAAATTAGAAATTAAAACTCTAGTTTTGGGTAAATAATATAGAAAAAAATGTATATTAACTCAAAACATTTTTTTTTAAATGTAATATCTAGTAGTAGATTAGTAATATAATAACTTTGTAATCATGAAAGTTGGTTTAAAATTAATTGGTTTGGATTTGGGTTGGCAAATGTGATCAAAAAAATATTTCAAAACATTTTGAATTATTTTTGATTTATAAAACACAGGGTTGCCATTCTTTTCATTCAAAGTCTTTGATAAACAAATTTCTCACATTCCATCTTGAGTCAAATAACTTGCTGTCAGCCAGAGCCGAGCCATAAAAAAAACATTTGGCTCTACAAGTCTTTTGGAATTCAATCCCATCTTCATGTTTTCCTGATTCATACAACCTTTAACTTTTTAAGTCTTCTGTCAACTGTTTCCTTGCTCTGTAATCTTTTTTTCTACTAACTCCCTACTTAATAAAGGTTGTTTGCCTTGAGTGTGAATCAGAGTTAAAAAAAATCATTATCATAAAAAAATAAACCTTTTATATGTTATTTAAAGTTAGTAATAAATAATGTTTTTTCATTTTTTTTGATAAAATCAAACATTATAACAAAACAAACAAACAAAACAAACGAACAAAATTTAAAATATCAAAAGTGGTGCCAATATAAAATAAAATTTATTGTGCACAAATTTTTTACCTAATAATTTTTTTGTTTTTTTTTTAATTTGGTAATTCGTCACGGTTTAAGTTATTATTTTTAAAGTTTTTAAATTTCTTCTATGATTTCTTTTTTTAAGTGCCCTATAACATCTTCTTTTTTTATTTTACTTAACATTTTTGATGGAAAAGCTAGATTAATGAAAATAAAATTTTCTTTGTTTTTTCTTAAGTTATTAAATTTGTAAATAGCACAAATATCAAATGTAATTGTCATGCAAACTTTTTAACGTAATCATCATTCAAACTTTATAAGTGGTATTTATAATGCTAATTACTTCTTTTATCTGGCTGCTTAAATGATTTCTTTAAAATTGTTTAAATATTAAAAAAAGATTTAAAAATGGCTAACATGAAACCGCTCACCACTTACGTTAAATGGCTTAGTGTGTACTTATATGGCACATCAGTTAATGCTTTAAAACAAGGCCTAATATATATTTATCAACCCTCAGAAAACCCTTTGGAACTCTGTCCCATCTTCATGTCCTCCTGATTCATACAACCTTCAACTTTTCAAGTCTTCTGTCAACCGTTTCATTGCTCTATAACTCTACTTTTTTTTCTAGCAACTCCCAACTTGATTGTGGTTACTTGAAGCCTTATTGGGAGTAAAAAAGAATTTAAAAAATATAGATAACAATGCTTAAATAGGTTACTGATACTGATGCCGATTAATCGATACATCACTAATATATATATATATATATTAGGCTTGGTCGGGAAGGGGGAGCAATCGCTTTCGAATACTTACCACGGAAATAATATTTAGTTGCAAAAAACTGGACAGGTTTTTTAGTCGTTTTGAGAACATTCAAGTTTATAAACGAAACGAAAAAATTTTGTTTTACGGACATACATGGAAACATAATAAACTTGAATGTTCTCAAAACATCTTAGTGCGGAAGAATAAAAAGAATATTCACGAACACTAAAAACCAGCCAAATTAACGAACAAACTAATTCTATTGGTTCAAAAAATACGCTGACTAAGCGAAATAAAGTTCTAGAGTATTCTGTTGAAACGTTTTAGAAATTTTTAAGGCAATTTTTATGATTTAATTTGTAAACAAAGACTTACAATAATAATTGCGTTTTCAATGAAGTTATTAATAATCATTAAAGTTAATAAAACTAATTATGTAACAAACATATAAGTTTCTAGTTACTAAACACAAACAATGCATTCAAAGTAACTCGCGGAGTTACTTAGAATAACAAGTAACGCCCCTGAGGTCATGACAGAACACATATATATAGCAAGTTATTAGCAGCAGTGGCGCAGTGGTAGCGCACTTGCCTCAGAAACAAAAGACCCGTGGTTCAAACCCCACCTCTGAGCAAGTTTTGTGACATCGGTTGGGAAGGAGACATGAACTTCCTATTAAATGCTTTTCCGCGGTGCTCTGTGATAAGACCGTTAGGACTTCTTAGGGCACCTAAATCAACTAAACAAAAAAAAAAAAAAAAAAATATTTAAAAAAAAGTTTCTAAATATTAGTTTACTAATTAATTATTTTTTCTTAAGTTGCCATTCTTAAAAACTCGCTATACTTTTTTCTGCTTTAAATACTAATTAAAATTAAAAAGCCCACTAAATATCATCGGCGATATTGTGAAGCAGTTTCGCTTCCTCATCATAAAGTATTTTTAACCTTTTTAGTTGATTATTATCTAGTTAATTTAATTTCTGTAGTAATTCAATAATTCAATTATTTCATTTGTTTACCTTACTAAGAAGAATTGTTTTAAATATGTTAAACATTTCAAACTACACGAAGCATAAAACAGGTATTAAAAAAATTAACTTTTATTTTTTTAAAATTTTTATATAAATTTATAAAATAATTTAGCTTAGATAAAACTTGCATTTTTTTTTTCATTAGACTTTTAAGGGCCGGGGGCTATTTTTATTTTGGATGCCTTTGAATGTGCCACAGCGTAAAAATGACTAAACAAAAAGGTCTTCTTGACTTTTTTGGGGCCCTAACATTGCGAGGCCTAGGGCTATATCCCCCTCTAAACCCAACCTTCCTTAATCTAGCACTAGAAATAAGAGACAAGTGAAATAAATATTATATTACACTCTTTGTTAAATAAAGAACATTTGTTTCCTTTTTAAACAATTGTAAGATTTATATAAAAAAACGTCGCTTTTTTTTATAAAAAAATTATAAAAGAGCAATGTTTTGAAAATATCCGTTCAAACGTAATTTATTTTACTTTAATTTTTTTCGCGTTAAAAGATATTTTATTTTTCTACTTTTTTTTTTTTTTTTTGTAATTGTCTTTCATCGGTCCAATTAATTATTTGCGCTTTTTTTTTTGCTTTTTGAAATGTTCTCAAAACGACTAAAAAGTCTGGCCTGCTTTTTGCAACTAAATATTATTTCCCTGGTCAGCAATCAAGAGCTATCGCTCCTGCTTCCCGACCAAGCTTGATATATATATATACATATTAATATATATATATATATATATATATATATATATATATATATATATATATATATATATATATATATATATATATATATATATATATATTTATATAGTCTTGCATTGTAGTCAAAAAGTTCCATTAATATAAACATATAAAATTTAATATTTTATTGCTCTGTTCTTTAAGTACATTGCACTCTATTTGTAGAATACACTTATATTATATATATATATAATTATATTATATATATATATAATTATATTATATATATATATATATATATATATATATATATATATATATATATATATATATATATATATATATATATATATATATATATATATATAGATATATAGATATATACACATGATTACTGTTATAATTAACAACTAGTTCTATTTAACAATTAAAACTGTGTTCATGAATATTTTTAACAGCTGCAGACAAAAGCAGATTGTTTTGATATATCTTGGAACATAGTTTTTAGCCCAGACACCAAAAGATCAAAAAAATAGATTTTATAACTTTTAACCTTTTCATTTCTCATAAAAAAAAATAACTTTATGACTGCAAATGAAATGTTATAATCCACTCAGGCTTGGTTTTGCAATCAAATGCTATTTTTAATGCGGTCACATGTACTAACAAATGTTATGACCCGCCGAATGTCATAGGGATTGCAAGGGTTAAAACCAGAGACAGAGATTTAATGACTTTTAAAAGCAGAGTCCTTATTAAGACTTAGCATTCCTAATAATTGCACATTTATCTTTAAAATTAATTGATGCTTCTTTTGCCTGATTTAATAAATATATTGATTTATTTTTATAAAATTTTGGTTTACATATCTATCCTTTAAATCTTCAAAAGTTGAAATCAAGAGTCTATGATACCAATATCAATATCTCAGATATTATCTGTGCATTTTAGTGTAAAAAATATGTTTAGTCAATATAAAATAACAAATGCATTCATAATAAAATTGACAGAAACTTCATAATAGGTAAAGCACAATGAAGTGTACTAACTAATTGTTGTACACTTAGTTAGTACACTTCATTGTATCATTCATACACACAACACTAAGTGTTGAGAATTTACTAAATTAATAAATTTATTTTTTACTTGATAATAATATTGAAGTTGATGCAGCAAAAATGTATTTGAAAAATGCTTTTAAAATTTGATGTATTGTTATAAAACAAATTTCATTAACGCATGAAAGCTAAAATAATTTAAATACTTTCAAAAAATAATTGCATAAAAGCTTGATGCATTTGGTCAACACTTTTTTGATAAATTTGAATTTGCTTTTAAAGATTTTTTAAAAGTTTCAGTTTGGTGCTAGCAGTAGCAAAAAAAAAAAAAAAAAAAAAACAACAACTAGAGTTTAATTAAATTACCAACTAATTGAGTGCTTTCTTTACCTTCTTCGTCTTTTTCTTTCATTCTACTGAACGCTTTTGCCGATTTACCAAGTCTTTTTAGACTACCAACAATAGAGTTTTGCTGATGGAGACTATTTGAGGCACCCAGTGTGTTTGTTAGCACCTGCGCGTTTTTACTGGCTACAAGACCCAATTTAATACAGTTCCGCCGAAATGCGGTTGGATACAAGTTGCCTTTAATAAAAAAAAGTTAAGTAATTGCATTTCTTGATACTTAAAACAGTTTTTTATGAGAACAACATAAGCCAACACCGCATCTTATCTACCATTTTTCAAAGCAAATGGCGCATGTGCACGACTGTACGCGTTTGAAGGCTAGATTTTCAACTTATTTTATGTAGGGCATCCCAGAGTAGTCGATAAATTAACAGATTTCAGGGATTTTTAACAGCCAACTTCTCCAGAAACAGCGCAGATGAATAAAGATTTGGCTGTCAATAAAATATTGCTGACTGCAAAAATAATAATAATAATAATAATAATAAGATAAAATACTTAACTTTGTAACTTTTTTGATAAAATTATAAACAACAACAATAACATAAAAGCCTTTACGGAGTTGACTCCCAACAGACTTCATAACTTTTAAACAATTTTTCTCATTTTTTAAAAAAACGCTATTATGAAAATAATATTATGAAAAAATTAACGCTGTCTAAAATATTTTGTTTTCAAAACACAGAAATATACAGTTTTAAAAACAAAAACGCTGTAGATCTTAATTTTTTTAAAACTACTATTCAGGATCATCTTGCTGTTATTAGTTTATCTGGTGCTCATTTGCTAGATGCTGTACTAATGAAAATAATATACATTAATCTTAAGATTGTGTAAAAGATGTTCATTGACTAAGACGTTTTCTACATTTGTAAAAAAATTGAAATGCTCTTACCGTGATAAACTCAGTGGCGTAGCATCAAGGGCCCGCAGTAAGAGAGTATGGGCTTGAGTTGTTAGGGACCCAAGCCAACTTTTTCATAAAAAACTTTAAAAAGCTGTCACTTTTAAAAATAATCTGCATGTATATAAACGCTAACAATTTGTGCTATTATTATATAGCTAAGCTACGAATTAGACTATTTCTAAGCTTTAATTAGAAAATTTAGGCAATTTTTATTGTGGGTGTACTTTTTTGTTTTGTTTTAAATGCCTTAAAATATATCATTTTCCAAAATGGTTTCAATTATCTCTGTAGCTGATTTAGTTCCAAAGATATACGTGTTTTAATATTTTCAATACATGTACTTTTTATGTAATATTTGATTAATTAAGAGATAATAAGTAAAAAATAATACTTTAAAGTATCTCGTTAAATTTTTGGCTCCGAAAATTAAAAAAAAAACTTTTCATAGCAAGCAAATACACGTCTTTTTAGAGTCTAAAATATTAACACTTTTTGTTAGATAACTATAAGACATCTAATAGTAGTTGAGTTAAAATCTGAATTTAGACGTCTAAAAGGTTTTAATACAGTAGACGCTAAAAAGACGTTTAAAAGACGTGTTTGTGCCGGCTGGGTTATATCCTTTTTATTTTAGCTGCGTAAAAAGTTGTGTTGACAAATTTCCAATAAAATTTTATTTAAAGTAAATCGCAAATCGGAGTTATTTGAACAATTCATAAATATAATTTTTTTTTCGGGGTTACCGAACACAGACCATTAAATGGTCACTTAGCATTAAAAATTTTTTAATTTTTGATATTTTAAGCATAATAAAACTTTAGAGAAAAATATTAATTTAAATTAAATTTTATTTAAACTTTCTTTAATGAATCTTCAAGTGAAAAACGTGGATTCAAATAAAACAGGCCGAAAACATCAAATTACACGGAAAATAAAGATAAATCTAAAATTAATCTTTACTCAAATGAAAATATTTTTTTGTAAACAATTTCCTAATAAATTAAGAAATATCTATATTATAATATAATATAGACATAATATTACAGCATAGATTATGATACATATAATAGATATCAAAAAAAATTTAACTGCTCAAAGTTTACTGTTTGAGTAACTTATTATTTTCCGTATCTATGATAATATTCAAATGAATGAAAAACTCGTAGAAAGGTTTTATTTCATCGTGTTCTAAATTAAGAGATATAATCAACGGAATGCTTTTACCAAAGGATCCAAAAACGAGAAAAAAAGAGTCTAGAGAAATCGAGAAAAAACTCCGTCGTAGTAAAGAAAAAATCGGAGTTTCGATTATATTTTGTTATAAACTAAAAAATTAAACTAGTTAAAAAATTAAATTAGTCTCTCTGATAATTAAACATCGTGCTTGCATTTTTTTTTTTTTTAATTTTATATTTATTTTTAGGTTATTTAGGTTATTAAGGTGCTTCCAGAAGTCCTTACAGTTTTATCTCGGAGCACCGGGCAGAACATTTAACTTGAATTTCACGCCTCCTTCTTTACCAATGCCTGTTGGGCTAGAGCTGGCGTATATATTTCGGTTTATAATTGATTATAAATTTTTAAAAAATCAATATTTTTTACTCTTAAATATTTTTTTTATTACAACTTTTTAACGAACAAGTTTTATCTAATAAATGACTTTCTAACCGGCATCGGTTAGGAAGAGGGCGTGAACATTTAGTTAAATACCCTTTCGCGGTGCTCTGTAATAAAGAGTTCTTGGGGCACCTCTAGCAAAAATTTAAAAAAATATTTTTTTTTAATTTTTTTATTTTTACTATTGGTGTTTTGATTTTTTACTTCATATTTTTTTAACTGATCGGTGAGACTTTTTTTTGGTTTTTTAGTTGCTGATTGATTTTGATTTAGAACTTCTTGAATTTCGGCAAAAAAAAAAAAGATGTCAATTATGATGGTTCTCCTTGTTTGCTTTTAGCGTGATGATATGAATTTGATTTGATACTGTTTTCTTTTCTTTCAAATAGTTGATCAAATAATTTTGCATCATAAAATAGAATATCTTTTTTGAAAGCGTAAAAAAATGTGTGGTTTTTATATATCGCGACATTTTTAGCGGAGTCGGAGTCGGAGTCGATATAAAAAATCGTGACACCGACTCCAATAGTAAAACTTCTCGGTATTGCACTTGCATGTACAAAATATTCAATAAACCTTATATTTAAACTAAACCTCAAAGAACTTTTCATAAACTTGGCAAAAATAAATTTTTTAACTTATCACGTAAAATTTTTTAAAGAATTTAAACAGTTTTTCAAAAATTTTGCTTTGAAGTCGGAGTAGGAGTCGTACTCTAAAAAATTCAACGATTAGGCTAGGAGTACTATTTTTTACGACTTCACACGCCTGCTAAACACTGGCAAACATTTTTTAACAAACTTTGCATTACTTCACACTCCCAAAAGTAATAAAGAAACTCAAAGAAATGAAGTTTATGTAAACGCTTTTTTCCTATTTAGTACAAAAAAAAATTTATTGTTTTTTTGTTTTGTTTTTTTAACATTATTATTTCTTTTAAATTAAAAATTCTTATAAAATCTCAATTAAAAATGTTTTTATTTAACTTTACGAGATTTTCAAAGTTATTAAAAATTTGTTAATTAACCTCAATAAACTAATTTTGCAATTAGAAATTAAGAATTTTTTTCAAACAGACTGTTAACTATTTGTATGTTTAATCTTAGCTAAGCTAAGTAACTTTTACTTAGCGCATAAGAGATATACCGTTTTATGTGTTTTTTGAACTATAATTTTTTTAGTGAAGTAAAAATTCCTTTTTACTTTAATTACAAGTATGTTGTTTTTATGAAAAAAAAAAAAAAAAAGGTTTTCTCCACTTCAATATTGCAACACACCTAACTCGTCAGTATGCCATCATAGGAAGAAGTCATCATTTTCATTTAAACAAGCGATGTCTGCCTTGTTCAAAAGATAAAAGTAAAGTAAGTATCCCTCTAAATGCACGAAACATCGAAATTAAATGCATGAAAATTTTGTTTCTGCACGGTTAATATTAAAATCACAGTATTAAATATTTAAAGGAATTAAAAATACAAAAGTACATCCCAAAATCAATTTTTCTTGATTATAAAAGCAATATTTGTGCATAAGGGACGTATTTTTACTAAAATTAATATAAAGTCAGTATAAACATGTTGGTCTAAATAATTTTTCGCTATAATCAATATTTATGAAAATATGACCGGTATGCCATCATAGGCGCCTTTCCCCTATAATTTATAAAAATTTATATAAAAAAGTATTTATTTTTCAATAATTGAATTTGTAATACTTCAATTTATATTATACTTATATACGCTTCAAGTATATATATATATATATATATAATATATATATATATATATATATATATATATATATATATATATATATATATATATATATATATATATATATATATATATATATATATATATATATATATATATATAAGATACGAAAAAGTTTTTTATTTTAAATAGTAACTGAATGAATTTCTTATGAATTAGTTTCTTGTTCACAGAAGTGTGTTTATTACTATTTTAAATAAATAAATGACAAATGATTTTTACTATTTTAAATGAAATTATTTTTATTAGCTACAACGACCAACAGGGTAAAAAGGACAAGCTCTTTAGATGACTATTTTGTCAAAATAATTAAAATTCTACCAATACAGGACCTATCGTTGGTTCTATCGTTTTGTCTTTATCGTCGATGTCAACATCTAAACGATTTATTTGTGCATTTAATAGTGGGGCTGAAAATAATTAAATTACGATAAAATTTAGTTCTTTTTCTTTAGAATCTGAATTTGGAATGGAAGTTGCAAATTTTACAAGTAAAACTAATGCAGAAATTAATAAAAAAGGTTCAATACCCGCGACAAAAGATGATAGCTGTTTGCCTATAGACATTTTTAACACGTCAAGTAACTGAACAAAATAAATAACAAATATTGAAATGCAATTGGTTTCCCGGTCCAAATTATAAATATCCATAATCTTTGCATTTAAAAAAGGGTAAAAATGTTAATCGCTTTTTGTCCAAGAAATATATACTTAAACTTCCGAACATAATGATTTCAGAATGTCTCATTACAAAAGTTGGGGGAATACACAGTCAAGTGCAATTACTTAAGCTAAGTTACTTAAGCTAGTTACTTTACCTCTTAAAAGTTATTCAAAGCTTTTGGGTAAGGATGGAGACTTACAATTACATGATTGCAACGTGTATCACAAAGTTGCTATATTGATAAGTTTAAAGCATGGTTGTAACTTCAGCATCAGATTTCATCAAAACATATGAAGACATGGTTGAAAAATCAGCATCAGATTTTATCAAAACA